CATGAGTAACATGAATTTTAAAGAGAAAGTAACATAAAACAAAGTAATAGCCTAATGAAATTTGCCCTCCTTTTTTGTAGGAAAGAGCAACTATATATATTTGACTAAAATCCTCTTGTTTTATAAAATGGAAACAATTAGATAAGGAAATAAAGAGAGGAAAAAGTTGTTTCCAACAAACTGTATCTATAGTAATGTTGGCTATAATTGATGTCACTGATATCCTATGCCTTTTAAAATGTATTGGACTGGGGGGTTATTGGGTTGTAGTTGTTGTTTTTTTTGATTATGTATTTTGCGGTTTTGTATTCTGATTTTATCCTGTGAACTGCCCTGAGACCTGCGGGTATAGGGCAGTATATAAATTCAATAAACAATAATTTTTAAAAATATTTCCTGGGATTTTAACATATTGTATTTTATTGTTTTGATGTAATTGTTGTAAACTACCCTGGGATCTTACGGTTCAATCCTAACCACGTCTACAAAGAAGTAAGTCCTATTGAGGTAAGTGGGGTTAGGATTGCTTGCCTTAATTGATGAACAGTGGTTTAGAAATCTAGCTAAATGAAAAGTAGTGAAAAAAATGAACACGTGTGAGAACAATTGCATAATGGCGAACTCCCCTCTCACAATACTCTTTAAACTCTTACATCCTGTTTCTAAAAAAAACCCAAAAAACAAGAGGCTTTTACTTCAACTCAGATTCATGTAGCTAAACACAAAAAGTGCTCACTTTACTAAACCTATAGCTATAATTTGCAAGGAGTTTTAAATAACTCTACTTGGAAGTTCAACTGACATCAGCAAGTTTCTCAGACGTGCCTGGGAGTTTATGACACAAAGATCTTCTGCGTTTCTAGCCCTTAATGAAGCTGTAGCTCTCAGCAAATGCTACGCAGTTGCCTGAAGGGATGAAATGTTTATCTAGTCTACAGCTCACCAGAGTCCTCCAGGCAATCCACCCTCTTGCAATTCTCTGCTACACAGCACACTGTAAGAGTGTGGCGGTGGTTGGATGCACCGCTTAACCAATTCTGAAGTTGTAGCAACAGAAAACCTACGGAGAATCACAGAATGGTGGAGTCGGAAGGGACCCAAAGGTCACGCAGCACAACCCACTGCAATGCAGGAACCTTTTGCCCAAATGCGGGGCTCGAACCCACAACCCTGAGATCGAGATGCTCTACCGATTGAGCTACCCCACAGCAGGAGACCAGAGGGTGGCAAGTGAAGGGCTTTCCTCCGGTTGGGCACTAAAGAGGTAAGAGAGCAGGCTGCCCCTTGCCTTGGATGACGTGCTCCGGGGAGATGGTTTTCTTCTCCGACTTGTTGCAGATCTCGTTGGCCTCGGAGGAGATGAGGTGGATGAACTCGGTGCAGCAGTTGACCACCAGCTCCCGGGCGTCGTTGGCCACCCGCACGTTGGGCAGCGTCTCCTTGATCATCTTGTTGATGGCCGCGCGGGGGATGGTCAGGTCGTCGTCGTTCCCGGAGGAAGAAGCCATGGCAGCCCCGTCAAAGGCCGCCCAGGCAGCGCCTCCTCGAAGGGGAACGGCTCCGGGCCGGAGACGGTTGGGGCGGCCCAACTGCCGCCCCGCGCCGAGGTTGCCAGGAACGGGACCGAGAGCGACGCGGGAGCCTCGGCGGGAAGCGGACACCCCCTCGTCGTCCCGCCCCGGGCGGCTCCTCCACAGCCGCCCGCGTCACTACAGCAACGGCGACCACCGGCGCCGCCTCCGCCACAACATCCCTTCAGGCGCCCGGAGGCGAACCGTCAGAGCTGCCGCCTCAGAGAGAGGGTCGGGGGGGGGGAGGGGAGCCGGGATGACAGACAACTCGCCGCCGGCGAAGAAGGAGGCGCGAGCTTCTCCGCGTAGCGCCGGCAGCGGCTCCGACTTCTTGCTCCCTCCCTCCCTCCTCACGCGCCGCGCGACGGTTGCGGCAGGGAACGAGGCTGCCGAAAGGCTCGCGAGGGGCAGCCGACACACAAGGCTGCGGCGCGCGGCACTTCCGCCGGAAGCGCTTTCCTTGCGCTTTCCTCACCCACTCTTCTTCTCCTCACTCACGCCGCCAGTTCCGCTTCCGGTCTAGCCCGGAAGCTGCTTTGTGGTACACTGACGGGGTGTGTGGGTCTGGGCACGGTTGTGGACCTCTGTCTGTCTGTCCCCTCAGTGGCGCTTTAGGCTGCTTCCCCCCCCCCCGCCCGGAACTTGGGTTTCCAGGCTTTTTTGGACTACAACTCCCATCAGGCCTAGCTAGCAGGACCAAGTGGTCAGGGCTGATGGGAATTGTAGTCCAATAACGGCCCTGGGGAAACACTGGCAGAGACAGCAGGAGTGTAGCCGAAGCCCTTCCGGATCGCCGCCTCGGCGGTGCTGGAAGTCTCGGACGACAGTTTGTTGTCGGAATTTCGCAAGCGCAGAAGCTTAAATCCGGGACTACCTTGGAAAGAACCGTTAAGGCCACAATTCTACTGTCTGCGATTACGTCGCCTGGGAGTAAACTCCATTAAAACTATAATATTGCGCTGTATGGTGTATCTTTTTAGTTGTGTGATTTATTTTGAAGTCAGTATTTCTACTCAGTCGGCGGAACGTGAGACTCTTAATCCTCAGGGTCGTAATTTCGAGCCCCAAGTTGGGCGAAAGATTGCTTTGCACAGGTTTGGACCAGATGACCATCCTGGTCGCTTCCACCTCTACAGTTCTATGATTTCTCTTGTCTTCTGTTGTGGAAATCTAAATGGGAAAAGAAGGTGGACCTAGACTAGTGAAGCCTAAAACAACCCTGCATGTGCCCATGAATTACGTATGGCTGTTACCAAGATTTAAAGCCATGAACTTTTTACTAAGATAACTATGGGCTGGGCATCCTCTCAGCCTAATCTACCCCACAATGTTGTTAGGAGAAAATGAGCAGGCAGAAAACTACTTTGCATTTGTTGGAGAAAGTCGCATTTGGTGGTGGGTTAAAGTGGCATTTAATAATGGTACAATAAAATATGTCATATTCTCTGCTGGCTGTGTGTTTGTTCCTTGCCCACATGTGTACATTTAGGCACCCACATCTGATTTAATAATAATAAGGTATAAAAGGTGTACCAGGAAACCTGGAATCTTTTATAGAAGAAATGAATGTGATTATTATCACCATTAAAAGTAGAGTCAAGTCATTAGGCAAACTGTAGTTTTTAATTTTTTAGAGCTAGCAGTGCACACAGTTCTCTTCCTTGAATGATAAGCTCATATACTGCACTGTGCAACACAGTTTACTTGTTTGGTACATACATTGCCAGCTTATCAGCTGTTTTTCCTTCTGAATGCTGATTTATTCAGGATTAATAATCTAATACCTATTAAAAATTAGAAATATTTGAAAAGCATAAAATGTCTTCAGTACAAGAATGGTTACATTTGACTTTTACTAACTTGGTGGATAAGATTATCCTAAATCCAGTTTAAGGAAAGCCATATGAAAAAACACTGCATCAAGAACCACAGGTGAAACCTAGACATTCAAGAGTGCACTACATCTCTTTCAGCTGTATGTACATTTCTAGCCACATTCTGAACCCACAAGTAACATGTAAATGCTTTCAAAATGTGTGAATACAGCTGGATTAGGTTACAAACCACTACAACATTTCTTGAAATCTCTGTTGAAGCAATTTGTCTTCTACCCATTTTATGTACACACAGTAAATCATATACAGTTAGCTATTTTGGAATTGGTATGTACCCAGGATCCTAAGAAGTTTGTTATGTGAATTGACCTTTATTGTAAGTGCCACCAGCAAACAGTTGTACTTTCTGTAGAGGCAGCATCTAGAAATCCTCACAAATATATGAGAATATGGTATGTTGTGTGGAAGGTATTCATAGCTGGCAACTTTCCCCTTTTTTAAAGGGAAATTCCCTTATTCCAAATAGGATTCCTCGCAAGAAAAGGGGAAAGTTGACAGCTATGGGTATATTTAAGATAGAGTAGGAGAGAAGCTTGAACAAAGAAACTGAAAATCGATTGGAGCAAAGCATATGAGACATAGAGCAACATAGTTGCTGTGCACGAGAGGGTTATATGCAGTAAGCAGGTAAAAGATATGTTAGGATCCAAAAGGCTTCATTTAAAGATACTATGTGTCTTTTTTGTAGCTTCATCCTTCCTCTGGATAAGCTGCCCTGACAGCTCTGGAACAGCATGTTGGAACTTAGTCTGATCCAGTTGGGCTCTTCTTATGCATAAAGTGTAAAGCTTTCAGGCTGCTGGTGAGAAGAATTGCATCTTTGAATACTTCTCTAATTAAAAACAGAAACCATTTCACATAGAAACATAGTCTGTTAGGGAGACTGTGAGGCATGATAAACCCTTTTCCCTGACATGCTACTTTTCCATGTAAACGATTCCCCCCACATGGGGAAACATTAAAAGTGCAACATATACACAGCCATTGCTAGCCTAAGGTGGTATATGTTGCCCTTAAGCAGATCATTTACACAAAAGAAGAGCTATTTGATCTTTCAATAGATTTCACATTACGCCTACCCAATTTTGCAGGTAAACGAAAGTATGTGTTGGAAAAATATTGAGGTGGTCAGAATAGTACATGGACAGACTTAAAACGAAGAGATTTGGACATACGCCTGGTACAATTGGCAGAAAGCCAGATTTCCTCCATTTTGGGACATGTAGCTTATAATTTCAGTCATGAAGAAACGAAAGCGAAAGACATGGAAGAAGATAAACACCCCCACAGGAACATATTGTTTGATTTAACTTGCTTGCTAGATGAACTCGGAGGCTGTGAAAAATGAACGAAGGATTAACATCAGATTGATTTATGGGAATCACCTGGACTAACTTAGCAGCAGAATAAATGTGAGATGATCGCCACCCCCTGACCTCAGAGCATGGGAAGTCAAACAAAGATTTATAATTTGGCATAATATTTGGACTGTTTGATTATTTTATAATTTGGAATGTTTTTAATGTGGCTTTTATTGGATTGTTAAATTGGAAAACTTAATAAATATTATTTTAAAAAAGAAGTAAGCCCCACCAACTTCAGTTGGACTTGCCCCCAAGTAAGGATTGTGTATAGGGCTGTAGCTTCAGTCAGGGCTATTTCAGATGTCTCCCATCCCACACAAGCGCTTACACATAAGGAAACATGAAAGTGTGTGAAATAGCCCACATGGCAGCTGAAATCACCCATTTGCTCATTGGGAGGATCTTCCTCCTCCCAAGTCAAAGCTTTTTCTGCTTTTCCAACGCAGCATTTTAATGAAGTTAAGACTCGCACTGAAAACCTTATCATGCTGAAAAACCATTTTGTAGAAGGTATCAATAGGCAGGTCTCCATTTGGATCAGCATATTTCAGTGTTGTAATTGGAGTGTATAATGTGTTGGTCTGGTGGCGAAAAGGAGGATTTTCGGCCAGAATTATCTTCACTGTATGCTGTAAGGATGAGAAAAGAAGGCATGATAACATTCTGGAATTGCACCAGACTGAGTGTGTGTGTATATGTATGTGTGTGCAAATATATTTGGAAGTGGGGGTGGAGAACGCAAAGAGAAAAAACTCTGGGGAATAAAATCAGCACTTTAACTCAATATTGCTGTTTGGGTTGCTTATGTTGTTCCAGCAATGATGTTTTGAAAGTGAGCTTACTGGAAGAGCAGGAACAGTTTAAACACACACACACACACACCTCTGACTATTTTAAATCTGAAACTGCTATATCAGTGACACTCTCAGAACATTCCTTCAAGATAAGTGTCCCCTGCCAGTAATAGAATACTCCTAGTTTCAAATGTGTTATTTGTTTCTGGAAAAATTGAGACCGAAGAAATTGAATGAAGCTTCCACTATCACCCGCCCAGTCACCAACAATTGTGTGCTCACCACAGCCATTGCTAACCATCGCTAAAGTTATTGGCCACTGCCAATCACCCGTCCGCTCACCACCACAACCACCAATCCCCCGCACACTTACTTGCCGCCAAACGTGCTTTCGCCAGTCATCGCCAACAATCGCTAAAGTTATTGAGCTTTTTTGGGGGGGTCACAACTGATCCCCCGCCTGCCCACTTGCTGCAGAAACTCGCCACCATGCCCCACTCTGCATTCAGTATCCGTGTATAAGACGACCCCCAATTTTTGCCTAACATTTTAAGGCAAAAGACATCATCTTAGGTACGGAAAAATATGGTACATAACATAGTAACACACACACACACACACACACACACACACACACCACTGTTTAAAAAGGCCATAGACTGTTAATTAGTCAAAAACCTGGGAGAAGAGGAATGTTTTTGCCTGGCGCCTAAAGATATGCAATGAAGATATTATCCACTTGAGCTCATGCAAGTGATTTCGGTAAGATGCTCAGACAAAGGTTGGCCCATTGCCTAGTTACATTTGGCATTGGCTAGACTCTTCCTGCCTAAAATGTTATTACTCACATTAACAGAGCCTTGTGAGTACAGATATTTTTAGACTTGGCTGTCACTTCCCCCCACTTTCATTGGATTGTAATTTCATCAGAAGCTGATGCTGAGCAATTGCCAGTCGCATAATGTCTCAAGGCTGGCAAACCATAATTATGTAACCCAGTCTTAAATTCCATAAAAACCTTCTAATGCATTACCTCTGCTATGTCTTCAGCTGTTTGTCCCAGGGTCTGGAAAATTTGCTTGTAATTTTTCAGGTAAATATTTACAAACATGTCTGCTGTTTCTTTATCTGCAGCTGAAAGATCCATGTTCATCCCATCTTCAAACACTTTTCTTTCAAACTCTGTAACCACGGGCCCTGGTTCTATTAAACTTAGACTGTTTGGGAAAATAAAGAAACAGGATACATTGTGTAAGTCATCTACTATATGCAAAACGACGAGTTTGTTTTCTTGCATTTGCATCTTGCATTTCACCCTCAGACATCCTTAGTAAAAGGCAAAAGATTTATACGACCTGAAGATTGTATAAGAGTGGCATAACATGTGGTTTCCAGACCAGGGGTCGGCAACCTAAGGGGTTCGTTTAACCGGCCCATGAGCTGCCCCCGAATTGAGCCCCCTGATCGGTGAGTCCCCGCGTGCTGTGCTAAACCGGCGCAGCACGGCACGGGGACTCATTTCCGTGGCACTGGAAATCGCGTCTGCGTAGATGCCAGAAATCTCGTGCATGATCCAGCCCACAGAGGAATCTCCATTGGAGTGAACCGGCCCAGGTGGGGTAAACCTTGCAGACCCCTGTCCCAGACACTCTGCCAGTCAACATCCGTCTGTCTCAAGAGACAATGGAGTGCACCTCCTGGGGTGAAATTAAACAGCTGCTTTAGCAGCACCGAAGTAAATTTAAATTAAAGTACAGTAATAAATGAGCCAGGCTGATACTTACTTAAGTTTAAACTTGAGCGCTTGTATGGCTAAACTTTCACAGAATCCTTCCACCGCAAATTTAGATGCAGCATAAACATCATTAAACAAAATCCCTATAGATTAAAAAATTTAAAAAAATAGTGAGTTGCTAATCTTAATATACCCTGGGCTGATGATGAAACCATCGTGTAAGAGTCTCCTGTGTACCATACACAACATCAGATCAACATCAATTTAGGCTGTCAGCATTACAAATGCTTTTTTATTTAAGGGAAATTAGAGTGAATCACTGTCAAGGCCAAGAAGAAGGTTCAACGAACGTATATTTATTTTGCCCCTCTTTCACCTCTTGCCCGAAAGATTTTGCGACAAAGCTCATTTACTAAATGGGATGAATGCACATGCCATCCTTCTTTCAAATCACCTCCAGTTTTCAGGAAAGGGGATGGAAAAGGCACCAGATGGTTCCCATCCCTTAGGTTAGGCAAATGTTTCTAAGTCCATGCAAACCGAAAGCGTTTCAGATAACATTTTGGATAACACGCAGGCAAGTAAACTTCAGTCTTGCCGTTGCTTCACCATAAATCTCCAGCCCAGTCCTTTCCCCCAGAAGGGCTTGACACAACACTTCTGTACAGTCTTTGCTGTTGCTACACACTGTGGCACAACTCCATTGACACAATGTTCTGGGTCACAATGCCACAAATAAGGGCACTGTGTTGCAAGCGCAGACTTTGCTCTTTAGCTGCAGATTGCAGCTCAGTTGCCTATAGGACTAAAATCATTGTTGTCATTGATCTTGTTTCTTGACCGAAAACCACAAGCCAGCTATCTGGCATTCCTTCACTTGAATAAGGGAGGGAGGAAAAGCCACAAAAATCACTTTCTGCTGAATCAGGAGCAGAAGTAACCAGGGCTGAGATGTTTCAGCGTTAGCAAAACTTCAGCTGATGCCAGTGTTAAAAACTGAGGTATGAAAGCTAGGAGCTAAATGGCATCTTAAATCTAGGTTATGGGCACAACAATGGAATGTCTAGGCACATTTTTGTAACAAGAATACAAAGCTGAAAATGAATGAACTGCAGCTAAAATATCATGTTCATTTTTCACATGATCTAGTCCTTCCCCTGCCCACCCTCCCACCCCCCTAATATTCTACAAGGGTCTTTTCTCCAGTTTTCCGTGAGTAGCTGGAAGTGGGGAGACAGAAAGAGGTCCTCCTTCCCTTCCACTCTGCAATTTTAATCTGAAATCTTAGGTGCAGTACTGCGCCGAGCTCAGAAACTGCTCATGCTAATGAAATTCCCTGATGCAAAATGCACCGTCCTAGAACAATGGGAATTTTGAACACTGGCTGATGCAGAATTAATTCTGGGGAAGCACAAAGGGCAAATCTAAAGGTAGTGTTGCCACTTAAAATGGGATAAAAATGTAGGATGAGATGGCTCTTGAATATGGGAACATAAGAGCCTTCTGGATCATTGAGTCCAGCATCCTGTTCTCACTGTGGCTAACCAGATGCCTATGTTAGATGCCCATAACCAGGAGCCTATTACAAGAGTCCTCTCCTGCGGTTTCCAGCAACTGATATTCAGAAGCATAACTACCTCAAGCTGTGGAATCAGAGCATAGCCATCATTAAACTGCAATACACGCTGCAGTAACTAATTAAATGCAATATTACTTTGCCTTGTATTCCCATGACACTGCTGATAATCACAATATGGCCGCTTTTTCTCTTCTTCATGTCGGGTAAAATCTCCTTCAGCAGGCGGACCAGCCCAAAGAAGTTTGTATCCATCACGTTTTGCATCTCTTTGATGGTCTGGCATTCAATAGGTCCAATGAGTCCCATGCCGGCATTGCTAACTGTATAAATGCAAAACAACAACAATGACCAGCCATCACTTGCTACTCAAGTTGCTCTTATTCTTTTCATGTGCAACAAACATGTGGGACCACCTATTAACCCAGATCTCTGGCCAGTTTACAAAAATAAATAAAAAATGTAAAACAATAAGCACCATTGCAAATCAGCATCAAAATGCTAGTATGAACACAGCGGCATAAAATCATTTTAAAACAAGCAAGGGGCGGAAATTAAGAGCATGAAATGTGTAACTTGAAAGGGGAATAAAAATCTTTCCATTGGCTGCCTAAAAGACTATAATGTAGGTACCATTAAGCCTTTATGGGGAGGGTATTCCATAATCTGGGATGCAGGTGGCGCTGTGGGTTAAACCCACAGGGCTTGCTGATCAGAAGGTCGGCGGTTCGAATCCCTGCGATGGGGTGAGCTCCCGTTGCTCAGTCCCTGCTCCTGCCAACCTAGCAGTTTGAAAGCACGTCAAAGTGCAAGTAGATAAATAGGGACCACTGTGGCGGGAAGGTAAATGGCACTTCCGTGCGCTGCTCTGGTTCGCCAGAAGCGACTTAGTCATGCTGACCACATGACCCGGAAGCTGTACGCCAGCTCCCTCGGCCAGTAAAGTGAGATGAGTGGCCCAGTTCCACGACTGGACTAATGGTCAGGGGTCCCTTTACCTTTACTATTCCATAAACTAGGCACCACCACCAAAGAGGCCTTCCCCCTTGTCACCACCTACCTCAGTCCATTAAGCAGAGGAACCAGGACAAAGGCTCTTCTGATGACCATCTCAAGGACTAGGCAGGTGCCTATGGGAGACCAGATCCCAACATACCAGTGCTTTGCCATTTGCACTGGCTTCCAGCCTGTTCCCAGGCCTGATTCAAAGTACTTGTTCTAAAGTTTGAAGCCTTAAATGCCCGGGGACCAGATGACCTGAAGGGTCTCCAGCCCCCATCCATCCCCTAGTTGCCCTGTTTTGGACCAGTTGAAATTTCCAGATCGTTTGCATCAACCTATGGCAGTAATACAATCAGGAGTTACCAGAACAGGCCAGTTATTGTGAAGATGGAATGAGTAGGAGGAGAACTACATTGAGCTCCTTGGAGGATTGGTGGGATATAAATGTAACAAATAAATAAATATTAATTTTTACATTAAAATATATACATAAAACGAATGTTTCATTGGTATTCATTACTTGCCTAGGACATCAATACGCCTTCCTGGGATGCTACTGACACACATTTTAATTGATTCATCACTGCACACATCCAGCTGTTTAATCTCTAAGGTGTTTCCTACAGTATTGCCTGCAGCTTCTATCAGTTTATCCTGTTTGGCCAGATCCCGCATTGTAGCATAAACTGCAAAAAAAAAAAAAAAAAAAAAAAAGAGGGGGAAAAAAGAGGGGAAAAAAAGAAAGAAGGAAAATAACTATCACAAACAGCAGTATTTAGCCTTTCCTTTCAGAAGGGTTATGAAAATTAGAACACCGATTACATAAACCTTCAGCTCCAGACTTTAAGGTCATAGAAATCCGAATATACGTCCATTTGATAGAGGCTCCAGACTAGAACAAAACAAAACAGCATGGCCAGAACCTAACACATAATTAACCCATTGAATCCAACTGGTTGCAGCGTTCAGGGCTTCTTTTTGAACAGACATGTATGGAATTCTACTTTCTGAATGCTGCAACCAGTTGTTTTTCCCCGTTTTTAAAAAAAGGCTTACTTTCATACAAGTGGATAGAGGATTGTGGCTGTTTTTTAAAAAAGAGAAACAAAAATAATCAGCTGACATTAAAAATAGAAATATTCAATCAATTCTAATTTAAACATATAGATTAAAATAAACAGCTGTGTAGCTTTAAGAGCAAGCCCCATTGAACTGAGTGGGACTTATTTCTTTATAAGCATAGGACCAGGCTGTAAAATAATGGAGGCTAGTGACATTTGGCTTCTCCCAAAAAGAAAAACCCTTACACTCTTGTTTCTAAAATTAAATTGCAGAGCCTGCAAGGATGCAAAGTTGCATCAAGTCACGCTATGTAAAGCTTTACTACTCAACATAGCTCACACTAGGTAATGTTCAGCAACACAGGTGAGCAAAATTAAAGAGAGAAGGTGTTACCTTTGAATCTTTTCTGTTCATCAGTGGCCATTTTTACAGCCAACGCCAGCCCAATTCCTGAGGAGCAACCTGTGATGAGCACTGTTTTCTGAGCCATTGTGGATGGTAGCAGATGCGCTGCAAGGTTTCCCTTAGACAGTCTTTGGCTAGTCTGGTAGCTTTGCAGGACAAAAGCTTAATACACCCCTGGATGCTTTTATCCACAGGACTTTAGGTGTCAGCAAATCTAAAGGTGCATACCTGTGCATTACAGAGCTAAGAAGATAATCTCCGTATGGACAGCAATAAACAAAAATAGACGTTTGGGCATGGTTATATATAAAGGTTGCATAATCTGGCTTGATGATGCATTGTAGGGAAGTTAGGCCTCAAGGTTTCAGCAGTTTTTAAACTGAAAATTTGAACAACAAAATACGAAAGGTGGGTTATCATAATTTAAACAGGTAACTATCATTGTTGGGCACAATCATTGTGGCCAAATTACATTCTTGCTGAAGCTACCCTTTGTTTCAGGCAGTACTGGGGTTGATGGCTGCTTGGACACTGAAGGACTAGCAGAAACATATCAAGGGAGCAGGGAGACACTGTCAAGGCTATCAAAGAATGTATGGTGGAGGCAGGCCAGGCTGGGGTTTCTTGGTCTTCCCAATTTAAACATGCGCTATCTAACACTTCACATTCAGCATCTAGAAGAAGAAGAGGAGGAGTTTGGATTTGATATCCCGCCTTTCACTCCCCTTCAGGAGTCTCAAAGCGGCTAACAATCTCCTTTCCCTTCCTCCCCCACAACAAACACTCTGTGAGGTGAGTGGGGCTGAGAGACTTCAAAGAAGTGTGACTGGCCCAAGGTCACCCAGCAGCTGCATGTGGAGGAGCGGAGACGCGAACCCGGTTCGCCAGATTACGAGTCTACCGCTCTTAACCACTACACCACACTGGAAACAACTTGCCTTCTGTTATGTGCTGCAATATCTGTTTTCTGTTAGATATTCCTGTTGACATTTTTTTTAATGCCATGTATTTAAAAAGAGATTCATCATGAGTAAAGGGGGCTTGTTAGGAGCAAAAGGACATATGTAATAGCCCTTGATCTGAATGTTATTGCTAAGGGAGAGGCAGACATGAGAGGCTTATAGAATTATGAATAGCATGGCTTGCCCAGAGATACAGTACATTCCTCTGATCTCTTTCTCATAACTGTGGGTCACCCGATTATATTAATTTGCATTGGGTTCAGAAAAACAAAAGGACTTATTCACACAACACAGTCCCAAAATTCAATACCACAAGGTAAGCTGGTGCCTTTCAGTTTTTTAAAAAAATAAAAATTGTTCAAATTTATGGATTTTTCCCCCTCACATGGTAACTACAGTAGTGGATATGTAACAGAAAAAAACAAGTAACACAATGTGTATTGTTTGTTTATTAATTCAATAATAATACATTTAGATGAAATATTCAAGTATCAGGAAAATAGTTTTTTAAAAAATCCAGATCCTTCAGATTTCTCTTCAAGAGAAAAAAAACACACACCACACCTTTATTACTGTACAAATTACTTCAAAGCAGTAATAAAAAAATAGAATTGGGATAAATAGGAAGGGATTATGAGTCACTATGTTTCTCAAATATATACAGGGTTTGTATAAAATGGCACATCATTATATTCATGAAGACAACAAATCCATCTGTGGTTGACTGTTTGCCAGCGCACTGTTACTTCACAATCTTTGTTCCTGAAACAGATATAAACATAGGCATTTACAAATGTGAAATTCATTCAGACCTCAAATTCTAGTTAAAATGAATTACTGGTCTCACACTAAGGACTTGAACAAGCATAATAATCACCCAGCTGCCCTCCTCTTACTTGATACAGAGAAGGCCTTTGATAGGATCCTATGGTCTTCCTGGGTAATTTACAAATAGGATATTTCCCCCCACCCCACCCTCATTCCTGGTAAGGAATGGAATAAGCCTTAATTTTTTATTTGTGCTTGGAACCTCTGACCTGTGCAACCCATGGATATACAGTAGTGAGACCAGCAGTATCCATGCAGCTGTTAGGGAACAAGAGATAGTCTTATTTGTGTATGACGTGCTATGCACTATCACAAACCCAGAGAGATCCATCCCTACATTGACAGCTCTCATAAATGATTTTGGACCTCTCTTGGGATACAGCATTACCTGGTCTAAATCAGAACTTATGCACTTGATGATATCCTATCATCTATCAAAAGCATCGAATTACATTATTCATAATGCTCTATTTGCAATTACAATCAGGTAAAAACTAGTCCTGAAGAAAATTCCTCAAAACGGTTTTCAGGTTTAGGCTGCACTCCTATGCACACTCACCTGATAGGTAAGTGGAACTTACTTCTGCAAAGGATGGTGCTTTTTATTTTTTGATTGAGCTCGTGTCCTTAAAAAAAAAAGGGACCCTATATGCACTCTTGATGCATTTGTAAAGTCTGTCCTAGAGGAACATTAATTAGTTAATACATCTTAGTAGTCATGCTTGCTCCATAAAATTTAACTCAAAGAGGGAACAATATTATCATGTCCCTGCCCCACCACCAGACAAAGTGAACTGTGTCCTATTTGCCTAAGAAATACTATGGTACAGAAATACATACTTGAATTGTCCTTTACATCAGGTGAAAATTATGGAGAATTTTCAGAACTCATCTCTTTGTTGATATATTTCAGCATGCCACTAAGAGTTTGGAAGTCACTGCTATCACAAGTCTCATCCTCCTCCACAATGTGTGTCAAAGGATCAAAGGACGATTCATTTGGACTTTTTGGTGAGTCGTGAATTGTGTCTTTTGGCTTCCTACAAATTACCAAAGAATTGGATGTAAAAATGTTTTTCGGTTTTAATAAATTTCCATCATCTTTAAAACTTGGATCATTAATGCTTGCAGATTTTCTCTGAGAATGCCTGTCAAAGTCTGGCTCTTGATCTAACCATTGATGAGTGGATATGCTTTGTGGGGCTGATAGTTGCTTGATGCTTTCTGTTCTTTCGTGACCTGCAAGTCTAGCTTGTAGTCTTGTTACTTCAGATTCCTAAAAATGTAATAAAAACAAATAACTCAACACTTTTATTAAGAAAATATTATGCCTTTCACATGAGCTTAGCACTTCATTCGGTGACAATGTTTTCAGCATTTTCCTCTCCCACTTCATTGGCTGCCATCTACAGAGGGCAGGAAGACACTGAACATGATTGGGCTTCCTATTTCTTATTCTAGATATTATCCAGGAAATGGGAAGACATAGGTAAGACAACAGCCACCCCCTAAAAATGTTGAGTCAGTCTCCAAACCAGGGGTGGGGAAAATTTTAAGTCCCACAGTTGCATTCCCTGGGGTTGAACACCCATCACGAGTGCAGCTAGAGGCAAAAGTGGGTGTGGTCCAAGACAGAACTAAGCACAGCAATGGATGGGACTCTTAGCTTTGGATTCCATCATGCAAAAGCCAGAGGTTTCCATACACCTCTACCTTTCCATCTAGCCAAGCAAGAGGCACCATCAAGGACACATTCCAGCCAAGCAAAGGCACTCCAGGATGATAGAGTACGGCCAGTGAGAGGCAGGTTCTGGGGAGACAGGATGTGGTCTGGGGAGAGTCTCCGTAGCCAAATAGGCTTGGAGGACCATCTTTGGCCCTCAAGTCTCACAAAAGCCTAATTGCTAATAATCTTTGGTAGTATCAGTGAAGTTGGATAATTTTATTAATTTCTCCTTGTACATGAGTTTTTTGTCATGCTGCCTTGTATGTCAAGAAAACACATTCTTGTGCTTACTCACTTTGAGAAGCAGAGCTTCATTTGCTGCGTCAATCATGTCATTTCTGGACTGAAGCTGTTCTTGTAGATTACAGACAGTGCCTTGTGCATCTTCCAGGTCTAGCTTCAGCTGCTGCAACTGCCCATAAAGGTGATGAGATTTAGATATCGACTCCTTCCGTTTTGTTTCCTCTGTTTCATGTAAGAGTTTCTGAAGGGATAAAGACAACAAAATATATTCAAAACTTTATGATCCGTTTATTTAAACTTTTAATAGAGGCATGGAACAAATAGCCTTATTAAGCTAATGTCCCAATTGATACATAATTACGGAATTCCTTGTTCAAAGAACAATCCCCAAAATCAAATGTTCTGCTGTTAAAGTCACGCCTATCAGTGTTGATTTAGTAATTTGATGAAGGTAGCTGAACTCACGTTTGGGAAGGGATGAGAAAGATGAATGGTCCTGAAGCATTTGGGGAAGGCCTATTGCTGAGTATTACAGCATCTGCTTTGCATGCAGAAGGTCACAGGTTTAATCCCCAGCATCTCTAGGTAGGGCTGGGAGAGAACGCTGCCTAAAACCCTGGAGAGCCACTGCCAATCACTGTAGGTTGGCCAATGGACCTTCCTATGTTCTCCCTTATTTGCAATGCCAGAATCAAAGGTTTTCCTTTTAAACCAAGGTGCCAAGCAAACCTACGGCCAGTCTCTAAAATTCCAAGATAAAAATTAACTGTTCAGTTCTAATACATCTAAAAATACAACACATGTTGGTAAGAGCAATTTTGTTTTTACCTCTGACGTATAAGACTGCTTTAGTGAGTGTATTTCTGCTGAGAGCCTCCTAATCTCTGTTTGCATTCTTGCTTCTAACTGGGCTTCCCGTGCCTGAGCTGCCCCTAGTTGTTCTGCCAAATGATTTGTACGACTTTCCTAAAAGGCAATTATAAAATGAATACTATCAGCAACAATACTTTTATGCATGTAGTATATAATCCTTCCTTCTTTGCCTTTCTGCTTGCAGGGAACCAATGAACCCCCATTAAAGTGAGGAAGCCATTGTTGCCCAATACACATTAAATTGGGTACAGGAACACTCCTGTATTGGGCCATTCTGTTGACAGGAAGAACTATGAAAAACAGTTACTTTTTCATGCGAGAGGTGGTTCACTTCTTCCAGTTCAAGAGAGAGCCTATCCACATCTCTCTGAGCTTGAGCCTGTTGACGGCGACTTTCCAGTAGCTCCAAATGGACCTTTTTCATCTGTTCACGTTCTAGCCTCAGCTGCTGACCCAAATCAAGTATTTCTTTGTGCTGTTCTGCCATGAACCTTTCCTGTTCCTCCACCTTCTAAAAGGGGTAAACAATGTGCATTAACAAAACTTAAGCATTTTTACATCCTTTTTTTTCATTTTTAACATACCATTCTGCTGCCATGCCTTATCAGATCCATTATCTGTGTAGCCTTCTGTCCTCGCTATGATAACTAATCAGTAGCATATTATGAGACTTAAAAGACCACCATGAGATGAAGGGAAACAAACAATGAGGCCACAATCCTATATAGACACTTACTGTCAAATTGATGCATTAAGAGCACAAAAAGCTGCTTGCATGGGAAGTAATATTTGCTAATTACTTCTTCCCCACCCCATCACAGCCCTTGCACTTATAAAAGTCTGCTGTGAAGAGGTGTGTGCGTGTATATTCAGCAATAATTAAATAAATAAAAATTCAGACACCCCTTGCTTCCTCCAGCAGGAGCCTTCTGTTTACAGAAGAGCAAATCTGGATTCAACCCCTTATGAACAGGAAGCATTTATCTCTATCCTTTATGGTTTAGGCTGATGAAAAAATCAGATAGTGACTATAGTCACAGACAAAAACCATTATGCAAATAAAAAACTTACTTTCTCAATATCTGTTACTTTTTCCTGTTTTCTTCCAGTTTCCTTTTTAAGACGATTTATCTCTTGATCTTGTTGGAGGATGTTCAACTCTTTCTCCTGAAGTTCACCTTTGGAATGCTGCAGCTTGCTCTCTAAACTCTCAATCTGGCAACAGGGTGTAGGACAGGATTACTTATTAAGAGAATTATCTATTTTAGGAATTGTAACAAAAGCCCCACAGCACATCTTATATACATTATGGGAATTAAACTCTACAACTTCTGTTTAAAATCTACAGTTGGTCAGTTGTGCAGATTCTGTGACAGTATTTAACTCTTCCACTTTAGTTAATGCAATAGTATTTTTCATTAATTGTGGTTCAAGATGGCTCCTTCCCTTCCATTTTTTACCCTCATACATATGTAGTTTCAGAAAAGTCATCCTCAGAATGGGCAGTGCCTGCAACTGCTGACACCAATAAAAGGAGAAGGGGGTCACCTATGTGAAGGGGGGGTCACCTATGTGGTTGGTACAAAAGAATGTTGCAGCACCAATGTGTTTCAGGTAACTGTTTTGTCAGGTAACTGTTCTGCAGTGGTAAAATATATTGATTGTGTATAGGCAGGTAACATGTCCTGTAAGCCTTCTTGTAACTCACTTGTGATTATGGCACTGTTCTACTTGTGCAACTGTTATAATTTTATGTACATTAATGGCACAACATGTATTGCTATGTTTAAAAAACTATATTGTTAGTTAAGATATACACAGCCCATATACTGTTTCATGCTTCAAAACTTCCACAAGCTATTATATTAGTAAGGGTTACATTTGACTTCAATACAATAATTTTTTTCCAATAACAGATAATCAAAGCACCTGTCTGTTGCATTCCTTGATCTGCAACTCTGCTTTTTCCAAATTTCCTTCTAATTTAATTATTTTTTGTTCCAATTCTCCCCTGTGCTCACGGATTGACATATCCAACTGTGTAACCTAAAAAGGGAGAGAGAGAACATGAAACAAGAATTAGAAGTTGCTTACCATGTATGAAATTATGCACCACAGAGTTGTGGTTATCACTTAGGCCCTCAAAACATGTAAGAGGCTTATCAAAATTCATAAATTATACTGATAAAGTTCTAACCTGAGCTGCTCTTTGTTTCAAATCCCAATTCCTTTCTTTTAGTATCTTTTCCATCTCAAGGAGTTCTTGCCTTTTGTTCTCAAGTTCATCCTTGCAGTCTCTGCAATTTAAATTTAAAAATAAAGCATAAGGTTTCCAAAGTACTAGTTCGCAATGGTGATGCAGCTCAGTAACAAGGGTTCAGCCTACCTTAGTTCTTCTGTTAAATTCTCAATAGCAGCATACTTCTCCTCCAGAGCCAACTGTGTTTCCTGTAGCATATTCCGAAGTTCTTGCAGTTGTCTCAAACTAGTTTTTAGCTTCCCAGTGGCATTCTGAAGGTCAGTCTCCAGCGTTCCTATTTTCTGCTCAGAATCCTTTTGCTGTGTCTCAGCTTGAAGCAATTTATCTTCTAACTGTTTCACTGTAGTGCATATGGAAAGCAGAAAAGGATGTTAAGTGTGTGTGTGTAGACTGAGGACTACATACTGAATTCACGGCTGTGTTCTAGCAGTGAAAAAGCTAGCGTCTGTGCTAGTCATACATATTAGACAGCTCTGCAAAGATTCTACAGCCCTGTTCCCTGTCAGTTTCTTTCATGTAGGCCTACCATTCCAATGTGTATTATCCTTGAGAAACACATCACATTCATTTCAAAGTAGTTATGTATGGCCTTCGCATTGAAAAAGCACAGTAAAGAGACTACCTTGCTGCGTCTTTTTCTGCAGTTCTTCATGTTTCTCCTCCAAAGTCATTTCCAAGTGGCCCAGCTGCGATGCTTTAGCGTGACCATCTCGTCTTAAGTGAACTAACTCTTTCTCCATGTCTATTAGCTCATCTTTACATTGATCCATCTCTATCTTAATTTGCCTAAACAAGCAGAATTAGAAAATCTCAATCAGTAACTGAAATAAGCGTGTTCTTAATGCTATTCTGAGCAAAATATAGATCTACGGCACACTGAGTTTAAACTTGAGTATTTAAGAAGTTGGAACTATGTATCTGTAAGATACATAAGTAAGATGGGTCTGCAACAGCACAATAGCTTATACCAGCCTTCCCCAAACTGTTGCCCTCTATATGTTTTGGACCATAACTCCCATCAGCCCCAGCCTGCACAACTGATGGGAGTTGTAGTCCTTGATGTCTGGAGGGCAGCAAGTTGAGGAAGGTGGGCTTAAGCTACCAGGCCCTTAATGTTTGAACTAACTTGCTTACAAAGCTCTGTTCTGGAAACCTCTTCTTTCAAAAGATGATACATTCATAAAAAGAATTTAAAAGTAATGATATATGCAGTATAGAGATTTAAAAGGACCCATCCATGGAAGAGTATTCTGAACCTACCTGATTGTACCCGTGAGTTCTGCTATTTTTTGTCTTTTCAAATCAGCTTCTTCAGAGACTAAATGGAGATTCTCGGTAGTTTTTCTCAACTCTTCCTCCATAATTTCCTTCTGTTTTTGAAGTTCTTGCTCTAATTTTAATACCTATTTTTAAAGGGATTTAATAGAGGTAAGTGTGTAGACATACACAGAACAGCATTGTTAGGCTGTGCAATATTTATTTACTTATCCAAAGTTTAGAGAGAAAGCCAAGAAAGAGCATTTGCAGGTATACATCCCCTGAAATCACAAACACATATACACGTGTGCAAGTTTGTGTATCTAGCTTTATCTTAAAGGCCTTTGATTACTGTTTGCCCAATGGATATAGTTCCTCTCCTTTGGAAATAATTGTTTTCAAGATACGTGTCCAATAACAAAAAATAAAAGTCTGTTCACTTTCTGATTCACAGGTATAGAGCATAATTCTCCAGTCAAAAGGCAACACTGAAGAATTACCAGATCCAGTTGCAACAGAGAAGTTAATTTTAATGTAACAAGACTGCTGTGGAACTGATGGCTTGGAGACTGCTCAAGTGGTTGCACTACCCTAAAGTCAATTTTTATTGGTATCAGTGAAAAGTATAAAGCTTCAATATAATGGACACAATGCATTATATGGATTGTAAAGCAGCACTCAAACAAAATGAAACGAAAGCAGGGAAGTGCATATTTGCACATTCCTAAAAACATTTAACTAAGGAATAAGCTCCAATGAACACAGTGGGACTTCTAAATAACCATGCATAAGATTGTACTGTAACTATAGCAACAGGCTATTAGCATGCAAATAAGCTTTTACAAACTTCAGAAATAAAAAAAAAAGTTGTGCCATTTGCCTAATACTGTGTATGTGAATTTTGCAAATCTGACTGAAGGATATAATGTGTACAGACCTATGCTGCACTCGTGCCTTTATAGACCACATCCAGTGGCAAATATCTAAATAAACAAACTAATTCTATATGGCCAACAGGGCTTTAGGCACGTGTTCCTCAAACAGTAGCCCCTCACACTTCATAGGGAACTTTTTTGATAGAGAAAGCATTTTCAAGAGCAGCATATGCCATAACATCATTTTGTTTTCCAAATATACATGGTACATGAAAGTGTAATGTGGACAATATAAATCCTTTACTGATCATTATGTACCTGCTGCTGGAGCTTAATTTGGCTGTCGTCTAATTCACAATTCCTAATGGTTTCTTGGTTTAACATTTGCTGCTGCTGCTGCAGTGTTTGCTGCAGAATGAAGTTTTGTTCACTAGTTGACTGAAGATTGTTATTTTTCAACTTTATTTCTTTGTGCAACCGCTGTATCTGGAAACAAATAAAAATGATGAAGTATTAACTTTGAGATACATTCTCAGCTTGCTCCCATTTCATCATTCATAAGAGAGCAGCCTGACAACATACATAAGTTACTACTAAAACACACATCATCACAGAATTTCATTATAATATAAAATCAAATTCACATAGTATAGTCTATACTTAAAAATATGCTTCTATCTAAAAAAAGGAGTAACTTTGGGAAAAACCTACTTATATTTTAAAAAAAATCCTCCTAAATTATTATATCTGCATACTGCTGGCACACTTTCTATCCTAAGCCACACTGAAGATTTTAATGCTTCTGTATTTGCTTACATGTCCTACGAGTAAAATATTTACCACAATTAAGCCAATTCTCAACTAAAGCTTTTTCTGAACAAAGATTCAAATACCACCACATGGAGCTACCATGATTATGGCCAACTACATGTCTGCCACCTTTAGGCGGGATATAAATATAATATAATATAATATAATGTGTGTGTGTGTGTGTAAATTTATTATACACTTACTACTAAAATAGTTTTGAGAGGACTTATGATATAAAAACACAATATATAAAACACAACAATTAAAGCTAAACAAATTGTAATGTATAATTCTAAGAAGCACAGCACCCCCACCTCCTCTGCAAAACATTATCATAATCAGAACCATCTGCAAGGGGGGTGGCAGTTAAAATGTCCAGAAGAACACAAAGTTTTTAACAATCTAAGAGCAATGTCTTTGTCTTGTGCATAAACAAATACCCATGTGCACACCCACAATGGACCTCTGGTTTCCTGAACTTGCAGAGGGTGGGAAAGTACTGAGCGAGGGGAAGAAACAGCAGATAGCATGAATACACCCCAGCAAGCACCTCTCACTAATTTGAATGAGAAACATTATGACAGATTTTGGAAACATAAAATTGAAAGCACTCACATGTGGATGAACCTGCACAAATGTGCTCACATAAAAATGGCCCATGCACACATTAATGCTCTAATGTAGGCATTAATGATGTAGGCATCAAAAAAGTTTACCTCGTCATTTTTCTTCGCCAGCTGTTTTTCAAATAACACTTTACTTTCTTCGAGATTACTTAAATATACCGCGAGATCTTCCTTGCAGTCATCTAGCGCTGCTTGTAGCTGTCTAACCTAATGAGAATCAAAGGTAGATAAAATTTGAGAAACAATTGCTCTTCTGAAACACCCCCAGAACCTAAAATTGCAATAAAATACGCTACTTTTTGTTATGGGTACAAAGCCAATGTAGTTTTGGTTAATATACTGGCAGAAATGTAAACCAGTTCTTTAAAGTAACAATATCTGAGCATATCTTTGAAGAGCACAACATTTTAAAATGAAGCAGTAAGAAAGTATTTGCATGTTTGCACACCCACAGCACAAATGTTTTTCACAAATTAAAGTTGAATGTGGTGCAGTACTTATTAATTTATTATACCTCGGAGAAAAAGAAACATTTCAGCTGTAGCTCACCTGCACCTCTAATAGCTATGCAGCAGAAGGAATTCATCAGGAGTAGCTTTTCACAGTGCAGTATTCCAGGGACTCAAAAATAACCCTGGCATAATCTCATCAATGCAATAAATTAAAATTAAGGTAAAGGTAAAGGGACCCCTAACCATTAGGTCCAGTAGTGACCGACTCTGGGGTTGCGGTGCTCATCTCGCTTTATTGACCAAGGGAGCCGGCATACAGCTTCCGGGTCATGTGGCCAGCATGACTAAGCCGCTTCTGGCGAACCAGAGCAGCGCACGGAAATGCCGTTTACCTTCCCGCTGGAGCGGTACCTATTTATCTACTTGCACTTTGACGTGCTTTCGAACTGCTAGGTTGGCAGGAGCAGGGGCCGAGCAACTGGAGCTCACTCCATCGCGGGGATTCGAACCGCCAACCTTCTGATCGGCAAGTCCTAGGCTCTGTGGGTTAACCCACAGCGCCACCCGCATCCCTAAATTAAAATTACAAGAACCCTAATGTGATTCTTGTCTGTAGGTTATACAGACAGAATGTTATAGGATGTCTCATTCTCTCCCTCAAACATACTTTGCTGTGGGTTGTGGGAAACGGGGCAAACTTCATTTTAAAGTATCATGCGATTATGTTTGGAACTCTCTCCCTGATCTACATGGTGCTACCTCTGTCTCTTCTTTCAAATTCATCCTTAAATCCATCTTTCCTCAGGAACCCTATTAGTTATTTAGCCCTCACCCATAAGGAAAATAAATGTATGTGTACATTTGTTCATATTCATTCTTAATCACCCTTGCCTTTCTTCCCTCCCCGTTTTTTGTTGCCAGCTCCATTATTCAAAATCTAGATTGTAAGCTCTTCAGGGCAGAGGCCTGTCTGTGATGATTGTTAGCATGTAAAGTGTTTTGTACTGTGGTCATGCTATATAAATAATAAAATTAAGGATTAGTTTAATAAACCATAACAGATATAAGTATAAACATAGAATCACAAAGGGTTTTTCTTTACAAATTTAAATAGCTCAAACATTACTTTGGTGTCTAAGGAAAAATCATTTCAAGGTACTCACTCTTAAATTCTTCCCTTTCGTAATGAAATAAGGAGAATAATTGATGGGAAAGAGAGCCTTCAGTATAAATATTCTAAAGTTTTGGCCAAAGAAAGGAACAGAAAGCCTACCAAGATGCTTAAGAAGCTAATTAAATTAATAATTTTAATCTGCTTGTATGTTAACTTTTGCAGGTTTCAAAATACAGCAGCAAACTTTTCTTGATTTTATTGCTTTAACTACTTGTAAATCATTTTGAGGGTTTTTTAGGATCAGAGGTGTATAAATTTTATGAAATGAAATATAGCAAGACATGAGAAGTCACAAGAAGTCAAAAAATAAAAGGAAGTGTACATACCTTGATTGTTTCCTCAGTAAATTGGCTCTGTAATATCCTTATTGCTTCCTCTTTCTTGGTTTTCTGATTTTCCATTTCCTGTTTGAATACAGTATCAAAAGAAGAAAACATACCACCTTAAAACATGATTTTACAGTTCACTTTAAAAAAAATATAGTCCACTAAGAAAAATAAACTCAACAGGAGTGATGGAACTAATAAATCCTGACAGCAGAAGCCCTGCGCAAGGACTGTGTAAAGTCATCTCCCCTCCCTGAGGAAATGTTAAGATTTTGCTGCTGCCACAGAGCATGCCAGCAGCACTTTCTGAAGCAACACCACACAGCACCAGGAATGACCATATGAACCCCCCCCCCCCGGGTATTTTGCAAGCAGCCCTCAAAATAAAAATAAAAAATACCTCTTTGCTTTCTATTAGCAGTAGATCTAGTGATTCAATCTGACGTTGTTTACATAAGATATCTTGCTGTAAAAGTGACATTGTGTTCTCCTGCTCATGGAATTGCTGGCATCTCGTTTCTAGCCGAGACTCAAGCTATTAAAAAGAAGAATTAGTTATTGACCCATAAAGTATTTGTTAGAGAATGCCAAATAATATAGCTGCAACAACTGGTTACATTTATTGGCTACATTTACATGATACTCATAAGTGTCGCCAACAGTATATTTACGGGTGGCATTCAAGTAAGTTTTATTTTGAGTAGACCTGTTGAAACTAATGGGCCTATTTCAATAAGTCTACTCTGGGTAAAACTATATGTCTGGAGGTACTTACTAAAGAATGTTCTGCAGCTATAAGTTCTGTGGTATGCTGAATTTAGGGAGCGAGCTGAAAGTCCTCCCTGACATTTTCATTTTTTGATGGAGTTGCTTCTTGAAAGTGCAGGGGAGATAACAAATTATCCATCAATGGAAGTAGGTTTGTGACTTTATGAACATTTTTGGGAAGGCTTTCCCTTCACCCAGCTCAATGTCCGCAGCCTATTGCTGCTTCAGAATTATTTTTGTAGCTGGAAAGAACACCAGGGCAAAATCTGAGCTAACCCTCAGAAGCAACTTGCCACCTGAAGCAACTTCCTTACACTTAAATTTCAAGCGGCCTCTTACATGTGACTGATCTTATATGTATGCATCGAGCACAAAGGCAGCATGGAAGAGACACTGAATTTTTTATTAAGAGATCACCAAAATATTTAGGAACTGGGGGGGGGGAAATACTATACAAATTAGAAGCTTACCAATTCAATCTGCTTTTCCAATTCTTTCTGGTGCTCGTGATGAATCATCTTTGTTTTTTTAAGCACTGCGGCTAAGTGCCCATGTTCCTCATTGAAGTTTCTTTCTAAGCTGTGGAGCTGAGCATTCACTTCCTAGGAAAAGCAACGTCATTATTGAGCTGCATAAATTAATGCTTCAGTGGAAAATTATATGGATCTTTCAGTGCCACGTTATGTCATATTACAAACCGAAGTGCAGCTAAAAAACAGTATAAACAGAAATCGCATTGTACTGAACTGTTTGAAAGCACTTAAGGAAAAACAATTTGCTTGTTCAAAATCACGTTAGAGGTAAACTCTGAAAATACTAATGCCTGTTGGCGTATTTAATATAACATTACATATGTAAATACATCTCCTTCCATCCCAAGAAGCTGTGAATAGGTAATAGGAGTTTTACCACTAATTCCCGTTCCAGCTCAGTATTTTTTTCAGCAGCAGTTGTGTAAGCAAGAGTCTTTTCTTCCAGCTGTTTTTCAAGGGCTGAGAGCCTAGAGGATTTCCTTGCTGCCTACAAAGAAAATATATAAACTGAGAACACACAGTCTAAATAAGAAAGATTTTTAGCATAAACAATGGTGATATTATTGAAAGTGTTTCCATGAACGTCACATGCGCTTCATAAAATGTCAATGATAATACAACTCCTTCTGCCCACACCTTAAAGAAAAAACTTTGTGCAACACACATTCACAAGTCACCTCATCACCCAGTAAAGCTCTATTGTTTCACTAGACTTTTTCCATTTCCCACAATCAAGTATCATGGATGAAATGGATTGCACCCCGCTCCCTGGCATGACATGCGAACAAAATATATTGCTACTGTACTGCATTGGGTCTTGTGGGACTATGCTACAAATACTACAATGTACTTTGGACATTCTTTGTCAAGAATGCATCAAGTTAGCTGCTAGCTGGATTACAGGTGCCAAACTCAGCAATCCAATTCCAAGAGGAACTATCACTTTGAAAGAAGGAATGTTCCAAGGATAGGATCTCTAGATGAATTACACCTTTAGGGTGCTGCAGAGGCGCTTTTCCTGTAACAATCAAAGAGGTGCCACTACATGATTAGGGCCTTAAAAATGTTGTTATTAAAAGATTTTCATGTATAACAAAGGTACGTATATCATATCTGTTTGAATTCAGAGTCTCTTCTATGGGTCGTTTACATTGGGTGTGAAACACTGCTATCATAGGCATTGTGAGGTTGGGGAGAGAAGTGGGGAGAGAGAGGTGGGAAAAAGAAGGGGGCTAGTGATTTTTCATTCCATTGCATAGTGTATGTGCAGAGTTTTTGTGTCAGCATCACATAAATAGGTTGATTGGTTTTGTTGGCGGTGCAAGAGATTGGAAGGCCCAGATCATGGTTGGTTGCATACAGCTGATTGCAGTGACTTTTGTTTGTGTGTGTGAGGGGTTGGGGGATGTTGGGTCAAATTAGCCATATTGATTTGTATGCTGTCATTTCCTCCAATGATATTTCCTCCAGAAACAGCATAGCCTTTCACAGTAGGAACTATATGAAATTAAAAACTGTGAGTTGTAACTAGGGCTTTGTACGTGTACATGCAGAGGGCCTTCTCGATAGTGGCACCCACCCTGTGGAACCCCCTTCCATCAGATGCCAAGGAAATGAGTAACTTTATAACCATTAGAAGACATCCCTGTATAGGGAAGCTTTTTAATGTGTCATGTTTTATTTTTTGATATATGTTGGAAGCCACCCAAAGCAGCTGGGACAACCCAGTCAGATGGGTGGAGTACAAATAAAAAAAATGTTATTACAGTATTATAGTTCCAGTAGCAAAATCGTTGTTGTTGTTGTCATAATCATCATCATCTATTAAATTTGTATACTGCCCTCCATCTGTAAATCTCAGGGCAGTTCACAACATAAAAAGAACTTGTTTTCCAACATGCACCTCCAGAATCTCTGGAAGGTCTCCGCACCCTCCAACGCTGATTTTAAGGGTGTATAGTGGGCTGGAGGGGACAGGAGAGGAAGAGGAAACACATGGCTGCAGCACTGGATAAGGCTCGAGAGAGCTCCTAAGAATACAGACTTCTTCATTTCTACTTACTTCTCGTTCCAAGCTACTAGATTTTGCAGCTTTCTCCAACAGTTCATCCTGTATTGTTTGAAACTGACTAGTTCGCTGGGCCATGGTCTCCTTTAAAAATGAATTTTCAGCTTCACATTTTTCCAGTTTAGTACGTAGTTCTTCTAACTGTCCATGTAATCTTTGCTTGGCCTTTTCAAACTGCTTAGCGACAAGTTCCAGTTGTTGGTGTTTTCTCTCTTCACAAAAGAAACACATGTGTCTAAGGGTACTGATTTATAAAATCTTTAAATTACAGGAGCAGGTTTGCATGCTCTTATTGCTCAGCGGATTGTTATGAAGCAACAATCCATACCAGAAGAAACTGTACAGTTTCAAATATTGTATATTATAGTATGCATACCTGTTTGGTTTCCTGTCAATTTTACTGGTTCAATTTCTAAGCCATTCAATTCTTGTCTCTCACTTTCATCAAAGAGATCTTGACATGGATTACTGGTCATAGTTTCTGCCTGAAATTGCTGAATCAATGCTTCTTTCATTGTCAGCTTTAATCTAGGAAAAAGAAAGAAGGGAGAGCAGTTGTATTCTTCCTTTCTTTTTTGACGCTCATTACAAATGCATGCAATTACTTCAGCTTAAAATATAATACCTTAGCTCTTCTATCAGGGATCTACTTAAATCACAGCAATTGGGACATGATGCTTCTTTAGAATGATGCATGGAATGACTAGCCTGCAAGTTTAGGGGGGAAAGACACATAAAAAGGTTGTTTATGGCACAATTGGTCATTATTTGAGGAACTTTAATCTCTACCACCCAACCCAAACTAAAAATGTTTAAATTCTCCTTATCTCAACAGAGTTAGGGTTAAGCACGTGCTCTTCCACTGAACCTGGCAGGAATTAAAAGTGCTTAACTCTAGTGATGACCCAAGGTTATGCAACAGGCCATCAAATTGCAAGCCACTTTTCAGTACTAAAAACTTGGGCGATGTTTAAAAATTAACATAAAATGTGACATAGATGGGAAAAGAAAATTGCTTAGCTTTCTCCACCATTGTCATTTCTGATCTACTTCCCCCATTATTAGCTTTTGCACTTATGCCAAGATTATAAATCAACATCTGTGTGACCAAGGGACTGGGATTGTGGTTGATATTCCATCATCTCTGCCTCTTGATTAGCAGATTGGCTTTTCAGACAGTTGCATCGGTTGCAACCACTGATGTAATGCATCCTAAGAACTTGTTCAGGGTGCACTGCTCTATTTGAGAGTTATAGAAGCCCTATTCAAATAAGGGAAGGATGTGTAGCACACAAAGCTAGGTAAAAATGAGAAACGTGGGGATTTTTCCTTTGAGGGAAACGTTTCAGGGGACAATGAGAAGAGTTACTCAACATGAGTATGTGAAGTATCAGCAGCAGCCCTCCCTCAAGGAAGAAATTGTGGTCTATTCTGGAGACCAGTTCATTGCTCAATTATCGCTTCCTAGACTATATAACCAAAATCCAAACTAACAAACCAATTCTGACATCAATGTGCTTACTATGTAGATAGATTGCAGTGCTTGAAACAACCTTTAATAAGAGTAGAATTCAATGAACACTGTTCCAGTGCAAGATCCAATAAAACAGGTTACTCTATATTCTTTTAACACAGCAATAGTCAGTCCAGTGCTTGGAATTTAGATGAATGTTCTGTTCAAGCAGCGGTCCCTTTAAAATGTATTCTTCTTCTTCTTCAATAATGAACTGTAAAAACTTTAACAAACACTGGAGTGCTGATGTTCTTGTATGCAGAGGTGCTTATAAAGCTTCCCCTTTAAGAAGCTGCCCTCTGTATCCTCCCACAGTTCACTTCCAAGTTGGAGGACCCTGTGAAATGCCTTGCATAAATTACAGGCAGGTTACCATTAGGAGACATTTTTGCCCCTTCCTCTGTGCATAAACAGAAGTGCTCCTGCCTTGCACACACAGGCTTTGCATTTCATCCAGTGTATATTTAGTCTGCTGACAGTAACAAGAAACAAAAAGGTTACTGTACCTCTCTTGGTGAACTTTGAGACAACTGGGAAATAATATTTTCTAAGGTTTTTAGTTCAGTTCTTGAATTCTCAATTTCTTGATGATACAACTTGAGGTGATCATTTTGCTGTGCAACAAGAGCTTTTAAGCTAGCAATTTCATGCAATAGGGTATTTTTTTCTTCAAGTACTGTGTCTTGGACCTGAAGTTTATTTTCGAGCTTCAGGATATTCTGCTGAGAGTGCTTCAGTTGCGCTTCCATTTCAGCACATTTGGCTTCCACACCTCTGAGATTTTCTTTTCCAATACTATTCTCTTCAGTTAATTGTCTAAACAAACACAAAAGGAGAAAGGTTCAAGGGGGGAAAAACCAAGAAAATCTACTGCACCAGAAATACTTTATTTTTTAAAAAAGCTAGCAGGTTTCTGGATTTAATTCTGCATATTTTCTAACTGCAAACACCATGGATTCAAAAACTAAAATTTAAAACAAAAATATAGGGTGATGAAAATCACAGGGAAAATTTGAGTATAAATAAAAAAGTGAAGTGGATAACGAGCTGGAGCATCTCAACAGTATTAAGTTCAGCTTCCACAAGCCATTTTAAGGTAGAAAAACTGTGTTTCAGTTTATTGTTTCAAATGTTGACATCTATGGGGTTTCAATAATTTTTGCATTTGTTGTCTTACAGAATGGATAAAAAAAAAAGCTTTTGAGAAATAGGCCAGACTTTTGCTTTCTGTTGGGCAATATGAAGATGGGGTGCCTTATGCTGCACTGGTGGAAGCATCAAGCCACCATTGGATACAATCCGTGATTTCTTATTAAAATTCTGAAACTTGTAATTTCTATCGGAAGATAAAGGAAGCATCAAGCTGGGGTGGGGGAGTGTCACTGTAGGGAAGGGTCAATCAGAGGTTCCATGGATTGATTATGTTTCCTGCCTCAAGCAACAGGACAAACTTATTACGCACTTGAGAGTGACCTCGTGGCTGCTGCCTAGCGGCAGAACAGACAAGAACTGAGAAAACAAATCACTTCTAGTAAAAATACATGCCGACTGTTGGACTAAACAGTCATCCAGTTGTTCCACTGTGCAGTCAAACTGATCCCTCCCAATGTGAGATGGGTTGAGAAAACTTTGTTTGGAAAAATCAATCACATTACAGCTTTGCTGCTTTGTCATCTGTCACATGGATTGAGCTGGTCACATAGTGTTGTGCCATTAGCTCAAGGTCAGAGTACTTCATGATCCAAATACCCATTAAAAAAATGATCATGTATCAATGTTTTCCATGTGGAGGTGTCAAAGGTGAAACGTTTTACCTCACTTGTTCCTTTGTGCTTTCAAGCTCACTTCTATAGCTATTGCATTTTGCGTGCAATTTTTCTTTTCTTTCACACAATTCATTAAATTTCTTTCTAAAGTTTGCTCTTCTTCCTGAACCTGAGTAAAAAGAAGACAGCTATCAGCAATACTTAATCTGTTACTAGAGGGGAAAAGTTAAGGCTACAGTCCTGTTTTCAGAATCTTCTTCAGTGAAAATCTACACTGGTGTGGGAGGGAATAGAAATGTTCTGTCCCAATGTTCCCACTACCCAAATTATATAACTACAACTGGAACCTAAGATGTGCAAAGATCAGAGAATTGGTCTCTGTGTTTGTCCAGGTCAGGAGACAGCAACCAGATAATTTACCTTTTGCCACTTTGCTATTGATTGCATCAGAATGGCATCTTGGTAACGCATTTGAATTAGTATAATCCAAAGCCTGGACAAAAAGGTTTTCAGGTGCTGCATGATGCTATTTTGCTATTTGATATAAATGAAGGGTTCCCCCACCCGCTGACCTCCAAGATATCACTGGAGCAGCACAGGATTGCCTTTGCCTATAAATATAATTTTGCTTTTGTAGCTATGACATAATATTGATTCAAATTTTATTGGTACTAAGACTCAAAAGGTTGTGTCAGCACTGAATTTGCTCAGCAATAATTAAAGTTGCAAGCTGTCTAAAACCATAACTATTCATAATATGTATAAAGAAAACCATTTCTTCCAATGCAACTGAATGGGCTGTTTTAGCTAGAGTTGCTTCCCTCCAGGACTAGGTTGTGCTCCTGTGCCCTTAGCAGTGAACCTGGTGGTTAAATTAAGGGAATTATGCTCTTCTTGGCACAAAGATGATTTCTGCTGGTCAGGCTATAGTTAAAGACATAGGAGCATGCTAGCAGAACATGAATAATCATAGCACTGAGATATGATCTTGACACTGAGACAAATACACATAAAACACTATTAAAATGATTGACATTTTCTAGTCAAATCTTACCTTTTCCAGTTTCTCACTTATTTTCTCTTTGTATTTTTTAAAAGTTCTTGTCAGCTCCTCAGCATTAAACAAAGCTTCATTTCTTTGACATTCAGTTCTTTAAATGAAAAAGGTATGTCAGTTTTAAACAAACCAAGTGAAGTAATGGTATAGTATTATACTCACGATATCAAAGCTTTGGAACATAAAACATTGTAAACAAACAACACACGGTAACAGACATTTGCTTTTAGCCTTTAGTTTCATTCAACTGCACCTTAATAAATGGCATTATAGATTTTTTACACGACAAGGTTTACAGATGTAAATATTTCATCGGAGCATTAACAGTCAAAATTAGTATTTGCTGAGCATTTCCTTCATAGGAACAGTTAAGCATTTGGATGTCATGAAGCACAACAGCGTTCTCCAGTTTGAACGCTGAGAAAAACATGTATGCCTTTCACTGAATGACAGCAATGCATTAAGTAGACTGGGTGCATTTTATTTCTTCACCATTTTCCAAGCAATAAATGATTCAACCACTAAAGTTAAAGGTGAAATACATCACATCTAAAATATGAGAATACTCCCTGTAATACTGAAAAAATAAAACTCTAATTATGATAATTATGCACTGCTAATTTATTTCCACAGCACTGACAGATATATAGAGGTAATGGGGATATGCAAACATAGTTAAAGCTAACAAGGAACGCTGCAAGAACCCTGATCTACTCTGTCTAAGGCTGGGGGACTCACAGCCTATGGGTCACATTCACCCTGCTGATCAATTTCATCCAGCATGATTTTTCCTTCATTAAAAGGGACACTCTGGCTACAACAACATCTGATCCACTCTGGGTTCTGCCTGTGGTAAACATTGGGCCACAGCCGGACACTCATCTCCGTAACTCCTTCTGGGGTCCTCCACTCAGCCTGTCCATTGGCACAACTTGTCCCTCAGCCTATAGCATCTGGGAAGTGAAGAGTGGGCTGAAAGCCAAGCAACCATTTGGCTGGCATGCTACACTTGGCACACAGGAGGGCACAAAAGGCAAAGCAGCAAGTGGAACTCAAATTGCACCTTGACTGCCATCTCCTGTGCACACACAGAGCACGAATTAAGTATTCTTGTAAACCACCCACTTTTGGCTCTGTCTACCACTGGCTCCAGCCCAACTGACTTTTTCCATGGCTCAATGGCCATTCACATAAAAAAGGCTCCCCACCTCTGTTCTAAGGTTTTGTTCAGACATGATTTATTTCCTGGAAATTGGGAGTGGGCTTCATGAACATGCTTTTATGCAGTCCCTTCCTTGCTCCTGACACAAGAAGAAACCAGGAGAAGAGCGCTTTAACTTGATATCTCCCTGATCCATTCATGTTGCACTGTAAGGGAGACTCAATGGTCAAATTAATATGGAATCTATTGGTTCAGTCATTAACTTCTCCCCATAGGGAGCAGAATAGGGCAGAGGTAGAAACACACAGGGGTGTGCTCAAAAGTAGTGCTAAGTAACTTCTTGCACCAGTGAAATGACCTCAGCTTGTGCAAGGAGTCTTTCCCCCTCTCCCCCCTACCTCTTAAATTTGTTCTGGGGAGGGGTCTACCAAGCCTCCAGAATAGGTTTTGGGATAGCATGCAGTGCCTGTGAGAGGAAGGGGGGGAGAGTCCCATTGTGCAAGTGAAGTAGTTCCAGTTGTGCAATTATTTATTCAAATACCACTCATCTACCACAGACTACTTCCAGTATCTCTCCAGGAGGAAATGACCTTGATGTATCTATGCATAGGCAACTATATTTCAGTTCAGGCCTTTTTTGGATCAAGGTTTGAAATGCTTAAACTAGGATTTACTAAATGTAATATAAATGAGAAAGAATTCTTGCAAATACTTATTTCTATTCAATTTGAGAAGTTGTTTTAATCTGTTCCAAAAGCAAACAACCTGAAAATTTGTTTAACGGTAAAAAAAAGTCATATACATCTACATGACATGGTACCAGTACAGTGGTACCTCGGGTTAAGTACTTAATTCGTTCTGGAGGTCTGTACTTAACCTGAAACTGTTCTTAACCTGAAGCACCACTTTAGCTAATGGGGCCTCCTGCTGCCGCCACGCCGCTGGAACATGATTTCTGTTCTCATCCTGAAGCAAAGTTCTTAACCTGAAGCACTATTTCTGGGTTAGCGGAGTCTGTAACCTGAAGCGTATGTAACCTGAAGCATATGTAACCCGAGGTACCACTGTACTGCCAGTCATTCCATTTTTTTCTTATTTAATTAGGATTAATTCTGAAAGAATGTTGTGGGTTTTGTTCAACATCAGACAAAGCATCTTAAAACAAAAAATTTGGAGCAAGGAGATATGTCATCAAGCTATCAGAATAAAAATCAAGCTCTTGTGTAATTTGTCACCTCTTTCCTTGTTTGCATTGTTCAATTAAATCAAATCTAATTTCTTTATATTCCTCCTTCAGCTTCTGGAAAGAATATTCTTTTTCCATTAGCCTTTTCTGGCTTTCCTCTAATTTATCTTCTGCTTCTCTAAAAACAAATCAGAAAACAGCATTTTAAACAACACATAATACTCATAGATGCGAATGCGTAATTATGTGCATGTGTACACACACACAAATAACATGAACGTATCTGGTTAAGATCATCAGGTAATGGAGAGCATTTCCCCCTTCCTCTAGCACACAAATTTGAAAGAAGTGGCCAATCAGGTATCCTACAGATCAGGTTTTTTAAATTCAAACCAGTATTTTGGTGGGTATATATGGAGATAGATGGTTTGGATCTTGTTAGCTATACCAAGTGCTTGCCTGAATGAACAAACAAGTTTTACTAAGCATTTTGCCCAAAGCAAGCAAGCCACAATCTTTCTCCTTTATTCCTCCTAACAAGAGATTTTAAAAATCAAAAAACCTGATCAAAACTAATAAATATAGAACTTAACTTCTATTGGAACAACAGTAAGTTCAAGATGCAATCAATCTGCATAAGTTATTGGGGAAAATAAAAATATAACAAATATCAATTTAGTTGTTTGGTGGGATAGAGTAGAATGATAGAATAGTTAAATTCAATGGGTTTAAGGAAATAACATTGTATTATTTATTAAATATCAAGGAGCTTTGTGAGTAGTTATTACAATTTAGAATTTTGTTATGTTAATCTAACCAACTTTGTTGTTGTTGTTTAGTCGTTTAGTCGTGTCCGACTCTTCGTGACCCCATGGACCAGAGCACGCCAGGCACCTCTGTCCTCCACTACCTCCCACAGTTTGGTCATACTCATGCTGGTAACCTCGAAAACACTATCCAACCATCTCGTCCTCTGTCGCCCCCTTCTCCTTGTGCTAACCAACTAGCTAACTAAAATTATCATGCTATGTCAAATGCTTTTAAGCCATTATGGTGTTTTATGTCCTACTATGGAAAGTATGGGGGGGAACCTTTTTGAATAACAACAAGAAGAAAAAAGTATGATCAGAGCAACACAGATGTTTCTGATCTCCTCCTCTGGACTGTGAAAGAGGTGAAGAATAGAGTACACAAGCCTGCAGCTCATCATGGCTTTGGTGAGCTGCAAACCATGTGTAGCCAAAAACCATGGTTTACTATTGTGTCTTAACTGGACCTATTTGCCTGCCTAACACTATGACCCTGTTTGCAATGAGTTAATTTCACTGAGGTCAATAGAATTATAAGTGAGAGGTTGGAGATAAGTGTACAAGTAATTCTGATTTTGCTGTGAGTTTTCCAAATTTGAAAAAATAATAGCATAAACACTCCTGTTTTTAGGAGATAAATCAAATGAAATCCAAGACTCTTTACTCACCCTCACTATGAGGTGCAATAAGTGAGCCAAGCTATCTATTTTAGGATGAGGGTACCACATTCAAACAAGCATTATATAGCCCCATTCTCTCATTACTTCCCGTGGCAAGGAAAAGGATCATGTGTACATCTGAGACCCATGCCAAAAAAATGGATGAACCAAACCTGAAGATTTGAAAAAAAACAAATAAAAAACAAAGGGTTCACTACTTTAGAGCTTTATCTTGTGCTTGAACTTCTGCTTCCAAACTTGCTATCTGTTCTTCTAACATTGGAATGCTGACAGAGTGTGTACTCAAAGTAGATTCAAGGAAAGATATCTAAAATATAAATACAATAAGGAGAATCCATTAATGAGCTGCCTCTTGACTTCTGAACATCATAGTCACACACACAGCCACTTGAATAGGAGTTTCTTTTGAAGAAGGCTATTCCTTCATTAGTTCCCAAAAAGCTCTCTTTGCTATACTGTGGGGGTTTTTTAATTAAAGAAAATTAAAGAAATTACAAATAGTCCAATCATTTAAATTAAGACTGTTCAATTATATGTAATTGACCAAAATGCAAATATTTTCTGTATGTTATTCTCACTTCATTGTATCTACCCAGTATTGTTAGTAATTAGTAATCACTCACTAACATTCATTATCAAAACCATGAGCCAGAGATCTGAAATTTGTTTATCTACATAGTCCAAGGCACACATAACTACTAGGAAGAGGTTGGGAAGTAATTTGAGAACAGGAAATTTATGCATTTCTTCCCCAAAACTGAGGATTCCAACTGTCCCCCAAAATGATAGTGTTACTCTAATGTTAGCTAGAAATCTGGTATTTGATAAGCCTCAGGGAAGGGGGTTTATCTAAGAATTTGGATATCTGAAGCTCTTTCCCTCAAACAGTAGGGCTCAAAGTATGCCATCACATGCTTAAAATATTTCTAGGGTGATGGATGATGCTTGAGCAACATTATTTATCATTTCTTAACATATGCAATCCTTTCTGCTATGCAGGGAAAGCAACACTTAATTGCCATACTATAAAACAAAACTGTAAAAATTCACAAGTTATTATTGCTTCACAGATTTCTTAGGCACATACCTAAGATTTAAATGTAAGCCTAAAATAAAAGCTGTGAATGAGATGAACATGTAACATACAATTCCCAATCATGTATACATAATGCTGCAAATCCACATATGCATAATTGCCTTCTAACTTTGTGCAATACAATTTTTGGGTAACACCCCTGAAGTAATAATTTCATGATCTCAACATATGGCTCACAGGTTTACTTTCATAACATGTTTTAATGATTGTCACCCCCATACCCCTGATCCTGTAAGCAAGTCTACAAATATAGAACTAGCTCCTTAACTCAAGTTAAATTAGAATAGTATCTTTAGCAAATCAGAATGCCTCAAAATTTCATCTTATTCAAATACCTACCCGTGCTCTTGACTGATTCAGTTCATAGTTTATTGTTTCAATTTTATTCATTAGATGATGGTTCTGAGAAGTCAAGGATGCATTTTTTTCACGGACTATATTCAATTTATCCCTTAGTATTTCATTTTCTTCTTCCAGGGTTTTATCCAAAGACAGCGAGTAACACTAGAAGGCAGAGAACAATATTTGCAACAAATACCAACCAAAGTGATTCATTCATCTTATTTTTTTATGATTAACATTATGAACTGACCTATAAAACTAACTCCATAAGAATATTATATACAAACTGTCAGAAAGAACAAACAAACGTCCATCAAATTCTGAATAATTACTTTGTTCCTGTGTTTCCTTGAAGAATCCCTGTTATGCCAAGGCATTCTGCTCAGAGAAGATTGAGTTGAACAATTATGTAATTCACTAGGATCAGTGAGATCTTCCATGGTTAAAATCTCAAGCGTGTCATCAGAATTATATGAATTCGTACTAGAGGAAAACAAAACAAATATCAACACCTTCCCTTGATTTTTGCAGCAATTTTTCCAACAGACTATCAAAATTAGGACAATTTGCAGCAAATATATTTGTAAACAAACACAGTAAGTTTTACCTTTGGTAAAGCTCTTCTAAGTCTTGTAAATTTCTTTCCGTTTTCTTTAGCTGACTCCTTAACGACACAACATTTGCAAACAAGTCTTCCTCATGCGTATCGTGATCATGAGAAGTCCATAAGTTACGTTCCATTGATATTATACATTTGTCTAATGTAAAAGATAACTACGAAAAACATATCAATAAAAGCACCTTCCACCTTTTGAAGAAGAAACTCTTTAAAATGACAGAGAAAATAGCCCTGTTTCAGATTTTGGCTTTATAGTATGACAGAATCGTGACATAATGCTTCCTGCAACCAGTTTGCAAATTTGGAGTTGGCCTCTTGAACATGTACTTCCCTAACGCTCTCCCCTTCTTGGCATTCAAAATAGCCAGAGCAAATTAGGCTTCCTCCAATACTGCTTTGTCTACTGTCATTTTGGCTATTTTACTTTCACGTAATTACCACTCTCTTTTTTACATTTCATTTCAGACCTCAGACCTCTCCATTTGCTCTGCAGTGTGTCTATATACACCAATTTAAGACTTCACTTTTGACATCTGATGAAGAGGGCGGTCTGCAAACACTTTCCCCACGATAAAATTTGTTAGCCTTGCCGGAGCCACAAGTCACTGCTGTTTTGTCACAACAGACAAACACAGCTAACCCTCAGGGGAGAAAATCCCCCTCATAAACACTATTTGCAAACAAGCTTCAGATAAGATTATAATGTTTAGTTTGTAAAGGAACTGTGGTTTGTGCCTCTGTATTCCAAACACAAACAAAAGTAAGGTTAACTTTGGAAATTGAATTGTTCTGGGAGAAAGCAAAGGGTGAGAATTAAATTCACCAAGCAAATTTGCAAACTGCATTTTGCAGAAAGCCATAGCAGCACTCAAGTAAAGTTTTGTTTGATTTTTGCTTGCTGATCTGTATGCCAATGCAGCATGGCTTAGCTGCTCCTTGCTCTTCTGAAAAGAGCATTTTAAATCCAAATTTTAAAATGACATTTTTGAGGGTGCATTTCCATAAGTACAGGAGTTGGCAGACCAAGAACACCAGGGTGACAACAGGCTCCCCACTACCCTACCACCCAATGGCGACCCAATCTTTTGCAAACTGCAATGCTGCCTTTTACAGCATCTGGAGCAGTTCATCTGGAACAGCTCATTTCTTATACCCAGCTCTTCAGCGGTCTGCTGCGACCCTTACGAAGTATTCTCCGGCATCTCCAAGGGAAAGCATTGCCATGTGTGATGTGCTATTCCAGTACTCCCCTTTGCCTTGTTGAGGCTGACCCGTTACTAGTGTTTGGACTATAATAATTAATAACAAAACAACAACAACAACAATTTATTATTTATACCCTGCTCATCTGCCTGGGCTTCCCCAGCCACTCTGGGCGGCTTCCAACCAAATATTAAAATACAATAATACATCAAACATTAAAAGCTTCCCTAAACAGGGCTGCCTTCTGGTGTCTTCTAATCCCAAATCCCATCATCGCTAGCGAGCAGGGACAAGGGACCAGGCATGATAGGAGCTGTAGTCCAACAGCAGCTGGGGGACCCAAGTTTGAGACGCACTAAAGCTGTGCCTCTGCCTCCTGATGTTTTACTGGACTGCAACTCCCATCACCCCTGACCCAACGTTGGTCAGAGCTCATGGGGGCTGGAGTCCAGAATCACTACCAACCAGCCTCAGGCTGCCCTCACCTATTTATTTACTGCCATTCAATCTTGTCCCCCCACCTGCTGCTGCTGCTGCTCTCCACCCTGCCAGTCCCAGAGAGCACCAACCCTGCACAGCTTCTGCCCCGGGAGGCAGGCTGACCTTCTCGCCTCAGGGGCCACCCTTCTCTCTAGCAGGCGGCGGCATTTTTCCAAGGAACCGCCTCAGCTGCGCGGGTTCCAGGCCAGAGCGCTTCGCGTTGCTTAGCAACGCTGCCTCCACGCCTCTCCCCCTCAAGCATAGAGGCCTCACGCCGTCCCACAAAGCGAAGGCGCGTCCCCTTGGTTTCCCCATTACAACCAGCCCTAACCGTTTAGCTACTGCACTCCGCTGCGGACTCAATCCCTTCAGCCAGAGCGGCAGCCCTTGCTTACCAGGCCCTCTCTGAGGAAACGCCTCTTTCAATCAGTGCGGGCCTGTCCCTTCGCGCCTTCCGAATCGCGGCCCTCGGGGCGACCCGTCTCTCCTGCGTTCGAACTGCGCGGGCCGTAACCTGACAGGTGGGGGGAGGAGACGGTTGCGGGCGAAGCGGCTGCTAAATCCTTCCGCGCTAAAGCTCTCGGGAGCCGTAGTCCCTCCTCCCCGCCCTCCCCGCTTCGTCCCTTCCGCTTCCTTCCCTGCCCTCAACTACATTTCCCGCAGTGCCTTGCGGTGTCGAAGAACCTCCTGTCGGCGGCGGCGGGCACGCGTTTTTTTCAAACCGAGGGGAAGTCGCTCCCCTCGCGCTCTTTCCTCCCCTAGGCGGAGCTGCGGCGCGCCGTGCATTGTGGGTAACCAGCCTCGTTCTTCGCCTCAGAAGACCTGAGGCGAGCGAGCGAGCGAGACCGGACCGCGAGGAGGTGCCGTCTCCTCCGGAATTTCCCGCTTCCTGGGTGTCGAGGGCTCGGCGGCGATGGAGGCGGAGATGCGGCGGTGCCTGCTGGCCTCCCTCCTGCCGCTGCTCTTGGTGCTGCTGCCTCCGCCGGGCGCCTCGGCATTCGCCACCGCCTTGGACAGCGACTTCACTTTCACCCTGCCCGCCGGCCGCAAGGAGTGCTTCTTCCAGAGCATGCAGAAGGAGGCCTCTCTGGAGATCGAGTATCAGGTGAGGGAGGGAACCGTTGCCCTTCCGAGTTTCCTCAACTGCTTGGGGTAGGAGCGCACGTGTGAACGCGGGCACCCGCGCCCCACGTGCAATCTCGTGTCCGGGAGAGGACCAGCTCGCGTGTTCGGGCCGTAGGGAAATCCATTCCCTCGGCTGCAGCCGGGGTTGCCTCCTGCAAAGCGAGTGGAAACGCACACAAACGCCCAGCATGTCAGAAAGGAAAAACGCTTTAATGTGTGTGCCTTTTCTGAACCTCCCTTACTTGCTGCACAGCCACATAGAATCGTAGAGTTGGAAAGGGGACCCCAAGGGTCATCAAGTCCACCCCCTTGCGAGGCGAGAATCTCATACGTGACAGATGACGAGCCAATCTCTGCTTTAAAACCACCGAGGAAGGAGACCCATCCACCATCACTCCTGGGAGGTATTGTTTGGGGCTCCAATATGCAGACCTGTGTTTGTTAACACTGTAAGCAAAGAGGCTTATGTCCAGGGAAGCGTGCTTCGGATTGTAATTTGAATTTTGTTTTTCCATAGTCTGGTAGAGGTAGTAATGCTGGGTCCTTAAGAGGAAAGCCATATGCTGTGTTTTCTGTTGCCGGGAAGTAAAACGGGACCTTAACTATAAAAGATGGGGTGGGATGGCATGAAAGTCACCTTTAGCCTCAAAGTACCAACCTGAATATTTGGATATACCTGCAGGATCAAAACATTAGGGTATAGTTCTGAAGGGCCAGAAAGAAAGCCATGTGAGTATTACTTCCCTCTAGCTTCAGAATGACAATTCTCCCCCCCCCCTTTTTTTTTTTTACATGGAGGAAACAGGCTAGATAAATGTCATGAAAGGCTGGGTCAAACTGGTTTGGGAGCTTGATCTGATGACCTTAGCCAAACAGAGGCCTTCTGAAATTTATTTAGAGCCACGTAAGCCAAATATGTTGAAATAGCGCTGGATGGAGGTTTGAGACAAGGTGGAAATGATCATTTCTGCTCTAGTTGCATGGAATGCAACTGGTACATGTTCCTGTGGTGGTATTTAATGGAGCATGATGTATGGATGTAGAAATTAGGGGTGTGGGCAGGGGGCATGCATTGGAGAGAGGCCCAAGGACCAGATAGAAGAGCATGGAGGGCTGCATTCAGAGGAGCCTGAGGATTCCATCATCACATTGGGAAGTAAATAATTATACAGTCATACCTCAGGTTACAGCCGCTTCAGATTGCGTTTTTTCAGGTTGCGGACTGCCAAAACCCAGAAGTACCGGAACGGGTTACTTCCAGGTTTCAGTGGTCGTGCATGCGCAGAAGCGCTAAATCACGCTTTGCGCATACCCAGAAATGCTGAATCAGAACCCGTGTGTGCGCAGACGCGGGTTGAAAATGCTGTGGGTTGTGAACATGCATCCCGCACGGATCATGTTCGCAACCAGAGCGTCCACTGTAATGAGTGCATTTATTTTTACTTGCTTTTCATCCTTTTTGTCAGCATATCTTCCAAAGGCAAGTAATGTTTATTAAAAAAAATGAAGAGGTCTTCAAACTGTAATCTAGAAACTGTGTTAAATGTTCCTGGAGATCACAGTTGCTACTCAAAGGTGTAAGGTCTTATGTACACTGACACTCTTTCTTAAAACATCTTGTCCATGAATGCAGCCATTTGTTCTTTAGTGGTGTGGTTGAAAGTGAGTACTGAAGTACCAAGCACTATCTGAATGCATTGAATAAAATTACAATATAGAGAAATGGGAAGCAGCTCTCAGTCAGCTCTGCTGAGAGATCACCCACCTCCTTTTGACTTATGTTCCCAAACTGTTTCTATTCCAGCTGGTTTGCTATTTTGTTCCTCCCCATCCTTTTTCCTTTTGTGTCACAGCTTTTTAAATTGTAAGCTTGAGGGCAGGGATAGTCCTGTTTTTTATTGATCTCTAAACTCTAACCCTAGAGTCTGTCAAGACTGGCCCGTACGGGCAGGGGTACCTTTACCTTTTTAAGCTGCTGTGGGATACTTTTCAGCCAAAGAGCAGGGTAAAACAATATTTAAACAAACTGCTTTTGCCAACTGTATCTATAGTTTCCTAAAAAGTAAAAATACATAGTAGTAATCTTAGATAACATCTCAGTGTTCATATAGATTCATGTGGCTTTGTCTTTAAGTAAGATTTGAATATTAAACATGATTCATTTTAGGTTTGCCTTTTTCAACAGAAATTACACTTTGCTCATATACACTGTTTGTTGACTTTACAGGTTCTCGATGGAGCAGGTTTAGATATTGATTTCCATCTATTATCACCAAAAGGTGAAGCACTAGTTTTTGAACAGAGAAAATCGGATGGAGTCCATACGTAAGTTTTTAAATGATTTCATTAAACATTAGTTAAACCATTTTTAGTGGCATTCTAAGAGCTTAGTAATTAAGACTTCATTCCTGAAATGTACGAATGGGACTTCACCGGAGGGGATTTTTCTGTTCCCTCTTCCCTTCCAGAACTCATTAAAGTGTAATGTCTTTTGTGTTTACAGGGTGGAGACAGAGGATGGTGACTATATGTTCTGCTTTGACAACACATTCAGCACTCTGTCAGATAAGGTGATTTTCTTTGAACTGATATTGGATAACATGGGAGATGAAGAGGAAGATTGGAAGAACTATATCACTGGCACAGATCTTCTGGATATGAAGCTAGAAGATATTCTGGTATGTATCTACAATCCTTTTTTAAAAAGCTATGGAGTGAATGGCTCTGTACGCTTGGAATTTATTTGCTCTCCCCTCTGCTACTACTTTTCAATAGGATCACCCTATTGAAAGCTGCACAACTATCTCTAGTGGCCTTAAATTGTGATAAGTGTATTATTGATTAAATATATAGCCTAAATTCTGTAGCATGTGAAAAGAAACGGAAGTGTACATACCTCAGCTTTGAAAGTAACAGATGCAAGTTCTCATTTTGAGGCTTTGGAACTAAGCACGGTAGCAAGGAGTTGGGGCTCACAAGGTCATTGCTATATTTTGTAGATGAGTCTGCTGTGTTGAATTGTGTGCTTCTCTTTTATTTTTCTAAAACTAGTGTTTTGATCTTTATTAGGAATCGGTCAACAGTGTGAAGTCCAGGCTAAGCAAAAGTATCCATATTCAGACCCTGCTCAAAGCATTTGAAGCTCGTGATAGAAACATACAAGAAAGCAACTTTGACAGGGTAAACTTCTGGTCCATGGTCAACCTTGCAATAATGGTGGTGGTGTCAGCTGTCCAAGTTTACATGCTGAGGAGTCTTTTTGAAGATAAAAGGAAAACTAGAACATAACACCAGTGTCTTAAACAGGGGAAATGCAATACACTGCTAAAGAAAAAGGAGATTGATGTTTCTTCCCAGCTTGTTTTGAATGAACAGTTTTTAACATTCGTATGTGACTTTTTAATATGAGCAGAATGCTTTTCTTTGCTCCAATAAATTGCAATAACTTGGTTTATTAAGATGGTGGATAACTTAAAACTTGCCTGAATCTCCTCAGCCATCTATACTGCACAATTTTTTTTTTGCAACAAATTGAGATTTTATATCTACCAATATTTGATACTATGTCTTAATGACTGCTAGCCTAAAGGTAATATTTTAAAAAGAAAAAAGATTCATGAAGTTATGAATTGAATTGTGTATTTCGTATTTGAGTCCTGCCTTGGATATGTCAGTTAAATGGAATATTTGCTACGGCAAACTATGCTGTTATTTCGACAATATTTTTAAATGGGTGTAAGTGAAGACTCTTGTGCCTTATTTGTACTAATTAACAAACTTATGCAACAAAAATTAACTGGCATCTAAAATGTATATTGCTTCCAAATTCTTTAATTTTCCTCACTTTGTGAATTAATTTTAAGTTCAGATCAGGGTTTGTTTGTTTGTTGTAGCTAGCCTTCATAATTCAAAACTGCAAAAACACAAACTCAAGAGTGCTGAAAGGCACCAGCTTTCACCTCTGGATTATTTATGTAACACGAACCCTGCAAGTGCCTAGGCATATTAGCAACCAGTTTTGAGGCCATGTAGCCACTTACATGCATACATGTTTGTAAAAGGACTCATTATACCCAATTTGGGGGACTTTGTGAATCGCTTTTATTCTGCCACACAAATTAATAACATTTGAGTTTTTTATACACAGGCACATCTAATGTGTTTCAAACCAGGTTTACTATAATGGCACATTCCCCTCATACACCAGAGGGGTGGTCAACCTGTTGCTTTGCCAATGTCTCGCTCCCATTAGCTACAGCCGGTATACTCCATTGTTAGAGATAACAGGAGTTGTCATACAGCAACATTTAGAAGGCTAGAATTCATAGCTGTCAACGTTTCCCTTTTTTAAAAAGGGGAATTCCCTTATTCCGAATAGGATTCCTCGGAGCAAAAGGGAAAAGTTGACAGCTATGCCCTAGATACTGTAGTTCTGATTATGTGAGAGAGGATGGAGATAGAATGCTCCAGTTTTCATGGTTACTGGGTAGGGTAGCTGAAATTGACTTACAGCTAAAAGCCCAGTTTACCTTATTGTGATTTTTAAAAAACAGCAAGTTTTCACTTTTAAATTTTAGCTTGAAAATTTGAATTTACAACTTAAAAATAGCTGGGAAATTTGCACTGTGATTTATGAATACAAACCCAGAAGCAAATCCTATTATGCAGTGGAACTTGGTTCCTAGTTAATGGGCTAAGGGTTACAGTGTGAGTTTCCAAACTTTGATTAAAGCAGTTAACAGTTGCTCATCAAAATGCCGTGCATGTTTGGAGAATAGCACACAACCTCCATGTCATTGTTTGCATCCTGAGATGGCTCCTATGGCTGTAATCCAGCAAACCTGGATGTCCCAAACTGATTTCTGAACGTTTGTGTGTGTGTGTATATATATATTCCATGCTTAGCATGGTTAACATGCTTTTTTTTTTGCTTGAAACTACACAAATAACACGTCAGCTGCTGAAGTTGATATGCAGATATTAATTCAATTCCCATTATGCTAAGCAGCTTATGTGGGGTAAGTGTAGAAATGCATCTCAAACATAGCTCAAGGTTTTGAACCACCAGGTAATGATTCTTGTGAACTTGAACCTATTTTTCAACAGTATTAGATGTCACATACTTTTGCCATAAAGTTAATACTGGTGTGGCTAATGATACATAAATGGTTACCAGTTTATAAATGTATAAACTATTATGCGAACATATAAGCATATTAAGTTACAGGTAGCAGACCAAGTAGTTATTTACAGCTGCTACAGTGGTAGCATCTATGCTTATCCTCTTCTGCCCATATTCATATTTTTTACATACCAATGGTTCAAATAATTGGGCTGATTTAAATGAGACTTAGTACTAGTGACCCATAGCTATACATTTTGAGGCTGCAGCAATGGGATGTCTAGCTGGCTGTAGTTATCTACTAAATATCAGCAGAAACAACGTCTTAAAGCCAATTATATGAGAATTATTCCCAATTTGAGGCAACATAGTATTAAATATACCATGCAAATGTGGATGCCAAGGTTTCAAAATATACAATCTTTTAGCACTGTAATGTTAAAAAGTATCTTCGCCAAAAAGCTGTGACTAAGCCTTCTACCTCTCAATTTATGCTAATGCCAATTGATTGGTCCTTTACAGTTCTGGTTTCCAACAAAACTTTAAATGTATATAAAATAGGGTGATAACCAACTGCATCGTACCCATTCTCAGTCATCCTCAGTAGACCCAGGGAACTTAAGTTAGTCGGATACCATCCACATTGCTGGGGACTTAACAAGTTGCCTACTATGGCACTCATGGTTGTGCTGTACATTTTCATAATGCTGCAGAATAGTGTGTGCAATTCTACAGGTAAGAATGAACACAGCAGTAAAAATGAACACGGCGGTAAATGGATAAATTTCTGGCTGTGAAATGGATTTAATAAAGGAATTCTAAACTTAATGTGTATTCAGTGTTTATTATTTGATTTATTACCCATTTCACCTAAAGTCCCAGGGCAGGTCATAACAACTTAGTGGTAAGACATGCATCTTTTGCCTACAGGACGGTGATATCCCTGCCACTGCCGCAGACACTAAAGCGAGCACCCTATTCATTAGTATGCATTGGGCATGGTGTATAGGAGTGGGAAACCTTTTTGGCTCCACGGCACAGATCCTTATAAGAATCTGCCTCAAGGGCAGGATTAAACTATGTCCTACCACCGCATTTACTGCTGTAAGCAGGTGGGCATGGTTTAGTTGAAATTACCTGGCAGGCCAAATTGGGGACACAATATTGGCTCTCGGGCCATAGATTCCACATCCCTGTTGTGTATATTATCAATTCATCCCAGCTACTCAGACTGCAAAATTTAGAAAATTCAAATCTGCACAATCATAAGCAAAGCATAGCAGTACTTGGCAACAGAATCTGATTAATAATTTTACATCCCCCCCTTCTTTACAAGTGGAATAACTGATTTATAGCAAGAAGGTAAGCAGCAAGCAGAAATGCTATATAGATAAATATTTTTTCCATTTAGTCTTTGAAGTTAGGGCAAATACAACAAAACAGGCTGCTACAAAATCAAGTATTATACAAGCATGGCTTAGTTTTCAAACCGTGATTGTGGGCTGTGCCATCTCCAATTTCAGGTTGGGACTCATGACAATATTTTCTACCCTCAAAAATCTGCACCAAATGGGATATTCTCTTAATTCTGAAGCACTATAGTCCAGCAACTGCATGGTGTAGTAAGCTATCAACAGCATAGTTTAATTTGTTAGTAGACAAAACAAACCGGGAGCAATGACTCTATCTCATATGAGGAGTTCCATCTGAAATAGGAGAAATGTTGAACAGCCATAACAGCCAGGCAAGATTAGTACTAACTAATGTCTGTTCTTGTGACCCCTGGCAGTATAAAATTCCTGTGTCATTTTCCCTCTCACCTCAATTTGTTCATATGGCCTCTGCTGGTGGAGCGGGCAAACACTGGTTACATTTATTTCACGGAAGGACAGGCAATTCCCTTGCTCCAATGCTATGACCTCAAAACAAAGTATAGCAGCTGCCTCCATAAAAACTGATACTGGGTGATTTAGTTCCGTCTGCTTGCTAAACGCAGGGTCACTATTTTTAGCACTGCAACTTATGCAGACCATTGAAAATTACAGTAGTTATCTGGAAGCTACTGAGAATACCCAATTAATGAAGCAAAACTATGCAAAGATAACATCTTTAAGAATACAACTCTATAAAAACGCAAACAACCATTCAAATTTTGTACAGCAGAATATAATTCACTAGTTTGTTTTAAAAGAGTCTCACTAGAGATTCTGAACTAATAACAGAAATGGATCAAATTAACGTGGTCTCAACTATGGCATACAGGTGCTAAACAATAGTGAATTGTGGACTACTCAATCTAAAGATTAAATAATAACAATCATCATTATCCACCTATCTGACTCGGTGGCTTAGAATGGGCTATTATTTAGTGGTCTAAATAGTTTTCTCACATTTGTCACCTACACTGCCAAATTTTATGTCCTGCAGTTTATAAAAGCTGAAGGAGGTTATATAGTAGTCAACATGCAAGAATGCTCTTTCAGGCACTAGAAAGGGAGGAGCAATGTTCAGATAATTAGCCTCATTCCCATATTTATGCCAAAATCAATCCCACTGAGTTAAAGGAGACTGCATTGCCAAGCTGTTGTATTCTTGCATTTGCACTTGTCTGAACATGCCTAGGATTGTGCTGTTGCCTAAATCACTTGGAAGAAAGCTGCACTGAAGAATGGAGCAGGAAACCTTGGGACTGGGCTAAAATCCACATTGCTTAAATCCACAACATGTTTATAAAGTCCCATTGAATTTACTTAAGGAAACACACTTAAATCAGGCTTTAAGATATAACTACAGTTCACACCTGTATAACAAAAATAGGGACAACTTCTTAAAAATACACACATTTAATGTTGATTTTAAAAACGTGAGAACAGTTTCAGCAATACAAACATGTCAACCACTGTGACAAAATGAGAACAAAAACAGCTAAAAATACGTTGATAGTTTGTCAATTTCTCTCCCCAAATAAATTCCAACTGCTGTCTTTGTATGGAAGCCCTACTGCAAATACTGCTGGTGCTTGATGTGAATTACAAAGATTGTGAAAAAGAAAATTAATGAAAATCTGGTTGTTAACATCACAACTACAATTTGCATTGTCCCAAGAGACCAACATTCAAAAAGTAACCTGGGTCTTATCAAAATATTGCAGCTATAGGCAAGGCAACTTTAACTTAATAGCCAAGACTGTGTGAGGGGAAAAGAGATTCATGTTTCTAGTGAAGGCAAAGAAAAGTATACTTAAATTATCACCTTTGTAAAGCTTGTAAGTTTACTGGCCAGCCACAAGCACAGAACAACATATTTTGTCTATGCTTCCTTTGGCTATATAAGGTGGTGACAAAAGATTTATTTCCCTTAACAATCATAACAGCATTTTGTTTTTAAGTCAATTTTAGTACAATTAGGTTTAGCCATATAGCCTCTCACTATTTAAAGTCATATTTTTTGTTTTGTTGGCAAGCTCGTGTCTGACAGTAAACCATTAGGCAGTAAAATGAGAAACCATCAGAAAAAGTAGTTGTTTACACTCTTTGGCAAAACAAAAAACAAAAAACAACTCAAAACCAATAAAGAAAATACATCTAGCCCCGACAAAAACACTTGTTATTTTACAAGTAAAATAAAGTTACTCATTTAAAACTTGATTCATATTTATAAGAACAGAAGAGGTAATATTGTAATAAAAGCAGTATTGTTACTTCAAGTGGCAACATACTGTTTGTTGACCCTGTGCAATTAAACACTTTGCTCCAACTATGTTTATCAAACATGACTACAAAACATTACATACAAAAGGAATATTGTGATTCCTGCAGACTTTTTAATTAACTGGGAGACAAAATTTACAATCAATGTGTCACAAATCCTTTTTTCTCCTAGCCAGAGTTTATGTTCAAATTTTCAAGTTCAGATTTGTGTCAGACAGCTAACTTTCTCCAACATTAACTGAGGCTGCAATACTGTGCAGCCAGGCTGCTTAGATCAAGAAGATTTACACAACAATCTTCAGCGTGTCTGCTTAGCAGTATGTCCCATGGAGCTCACTAGGGCTTACTCCCAGGATTGCAGCCTCAAAGCAACCTGGTCCACAATAGGTGAAATTATTCCCATATTTCTTAACCTTGGCTAAGATATAGCAAAAGTACTCCCTCCTGCTAATCCCTTCTCTTTCTAGTGGTGTACATTACACCTGCATCAAGATAAACACTAACCACTGTTCGCTGTAACTAGTTTGCAAACTCTGGTTTGAGGCAACTATACATGGATCTCTAGCACTATGTAGATGTAGTGCTGAAACATATCTTAATGCTGAAAGGAAGGGGAATCTGCACAGGAGAGACAGGGAGGGAGCATGTGAACCTGAAAGGTATACCAAATCTTTTCATCACTGGGCCTCTATGTGGAGGATTGCAGCCTGAATTATTTTCTGAAGGCATATGACATTAACGACTGCACTCACTGCCAAAACACACAGCACTCATTTGACACATATTCTGTAGTATGTGGCAAACAACAGCACCCATTAAAGCCTGAGAAGAAATGCTGCTGTGTAAATACTGCAACTATTCCTGATAAAAGAATTATGGGATATATAGTCAAAAGCTGCCCAATCCCATAATTTATATTGCATAGGTCACAATCACACACATATATACACATGCACACGTATGTGTATATATACACACATGCAAAGAATATATTAAAAAGACAACGAAGTCTAGTCACAGAGCAATTTACAAGCTCAATATATTTTTTTTACACTTTGCTTGAAAGATTTCAATATTTTACAGTCCTCAGTAGGAATTATATACACTGCACCTTATGAAAATCTAGGGTTGTCAAAGTAGAAATACACTTTTGCAAACATTTGGGTAAGAAAAGATTACGAAATCTTACTAAAAATTTGTTCTAGCTACAGAAAATATTCTCTACCCACATGGAATGTTCTCTAGTCTCTTCTGAAGTCGTGCACATTTAAAAGCAAATGAAATCCCAGATTCCCGCCCTAAACAATCTAAATCCTTATCTTAAAAAAATCCAGCCTCATTTAAAAAATGGTAGAATTTTCAGCACAATGTTTTGTACTGTTAAGAAAGAAATGTTAAGGCTAACTTGGTTTCTATTTTTAGAAATGTCAAAAGAAGTTCCCTTCTGCACTCCTGATTTATATAAACAGTGCCTATAAATAAACAGTGCAGCAAACATGTTCAGTACTACAGTCAGGAGGCAGTTGCTCCTTCCCACTCCACAAGATACTGCACTTTGCCATCGAGTGTCACTCGACGTGCCAAAACACGGTATTTTTCACCACAAGCTATCCTACCTGCTGCACCAAAGTAACTGGTAATGGAGTTTTTAAGATGATTAAGCTGTAACTCCTGATCTGCCAAGTTATTAAGTATTTCTGTATTAAGTTCATCATACTGGTAATCATCTTTGCCTTCGTCATCTTTCACAATTTCGGAATTCTGAATCTGGAGTGCTTTACGTGGAAGCCGCCCTCTTCTCCTTAAGTGTGGGATTGCAGCTGGCCAAGTTCTTCCTGTTCGTGTCCTTTTCCTGGATTCAGACAAACTACGGAAGATAAGAAACAATAATTTAAGGTTGAGGGTTGTATTCAACATAGCGTTTAAGTGAACTTTCCTTCAGAGCAACTATTTCTCCTTACATAATGTTCTTCCCCTGTGCGCCCCCAAAATCTGTTCCAGGGGTTCCCCCAAACCTATGACAGGGTGGAATTGTGGGGAAATGTCCTGTTGCACCAGTGGAAATCCTTGGAGAATAGCAATAGTTGAGGTCCCCCCTCATAATATAATTTGCATCCA